CACACACGACGGCCGTTAGGAGAGCGATGGACATCCGCCCGCACCGACAGGCGGCGGGGAGAGCCGATAGATGGAGGAAGAGGATGGGAAGGAGGATCGGAGGGGGACGAGGAAGGAGACACAGAAGACACGACAGACCGGGTAGAAGGAAGGGGAACCCCAGACAGAGGACCAGGAGGAGGATCCTTCGGGAGAGAACCCAAAGGGACAGAGGAGGGGGCAGTGGGCGCATCAGGGTCCAAGGCCTGGAAACGGTTGTGAGTCTGAGGAAGGCGGGAAGGACGAGGAGAGGAAGAGCGCAACACGCGAGCATAAGAGATATTAGCATAAGGCGGGAGCCGGCGAACCTGGCGCCTCGCCTCAGGAAAAGATAAACGCTCCCGGTGCTTCAAGTTGAGGACGGCTGCCTCAAGCTTGTAATGGACACACGCACGGGAGAAGGTAGGATGGGCCTCACCGCAGTTGAGGCAACGAGCCTGGGGAGAAGCGCACTCCGACTTAGAGTGACCTTCGCCACCACACAAAGGACAGAGAGAGACAGTCCCGGAGCAGCGGAGGGCACCATGCCCAAACCTCCAGCACTTGTTGCAGAGCCGAGGAGAAGGAATGTACTCCTGGACAGAGCACCTGGCACCAGCAAGAATGACAGAGGGTGGAAGGGTCCTACCATCAAAGGTAATCTTCACAACCCGGAGGGGTTGACGGCGACTACCACGAGGGGGACGAGTAAACGTGTCCACCTGGAGAATAGAATGGCCCTGGGCAGCGAGGATATGTCGAATATCGTCGTGGCAGTCGCGTAGGTCCCGAACACCGGTCGCAACATGGGGCGGGAGCAAAATAGTGCCAACACTGGCATTCAACTGAACGTTCTTCGAGACCCGAACGGGGGTCTCGCCAAGGCAGGATAAGGCAGCCAAGCGGGAAGCAGCATCCTGAGAAGGAGCAGCAACGACACGTGTACCGAGACGAGTGGGGTTGAAAGTAATGGAGGCATCCACGGAATCAATGAGATGTCGATGGAGGGAGAAATCGTCAGGAGGCGCAGAATCAAGAGGGAGGAGATCAAAATATTTGGCCCACGAAGCGGGACCAAACAAGGCATGATAGGTAGCAGAACTGGAAGGAATCGAGCGAGGGCGGCCGTGACGAAGACGGCGGTGAGAACCCCCAGAGAGAGAGGGGTTAAAAGGCGCAGTAGTTACAACTAGAGAAGGAGCCACGCCAGGGGACGAGGTAGTCACCACTGGGGGCTCGGGGCTCGACCCAACCACAGAGGAGGGAGGGGAGCCAGAGGAAGGAGCCAGAGAGGCCAAAGGAGGAGCAAGGTCGGGGCCCAATGCAGCGGAGGCTACAGAGCCCGGTCTTCCAATACGGACCGACTCGGGGGCTTGGTCGCCCACCCCACGAGCCTGAGAAGGTAAACCAGAAGAAGCCGAAGCAGGGGTAATCATCTTGACGAAAGAAAGAATTCACTCACGAATGTGCCCCCACACCCACCATGGAGCCACAATTAGAGGCAGGACACCCAACAAGAAGCTATCGCCGATCCTGTCGGGGCCTCCTAGGGGTGCGTCGCGAGTATACGCCCCACAAACGCCACCTTAAGAAACCGACAGTCCGTCGAGATCGGGTTCAGTGACGAAGTGGGGATTGACAATAAAAGGTTCCCCTACCCTAGACTATATGAAGTGGAGTACCGTGTGTCAAAAAAGCTAACTAGGTGATGCTATAAAATCCCCATCACACAGGATGGTTAGTCATACAGAGGCTTGTGATAAGCGGTCTGCACTGGCAGACTTCGGATGCATTTTGAGGATATCAACAACACAAGATTGAATAAGGTAGCAGTGGTAATACAAGTCCCCATCTCGCAGGATGGTTAGTCATACAGAGGCATGTGATAAGCGGTCTGCACTGGCAGACTCCGGATGCATTTTGAGGATATCAACAACACAAGATTGAATAAGGTAGCAGTGGTAATACAAGTCCCCATCTCGCAGGATGGTTAGTCATACAGAGCCATGTGTTTAATAGCCTGCACTGGCAAATTTTGGGTATACTGTGAGGATATCTTCAAGAATACGAGAGTGAATAAAGTAATTGCAAAGCTCCAGGTACCTCATGCCAACTGGTCTGTAAGGTCTAATAACTGGGCATTCAGTGATGTAGTGCGGGAGATCATGCCGTAGTTCCTGCTCACAGAGTTTGGTTTCAGATCTGAACAAATCATAGCTTTTTATACTAGTACTTTCAGGTCGTTGGGAGTCAGTAAGAGGCTCAGAGCACCTGCCCCTCACCACTCAGGCGCCGCCAGCGTTTCACGGCCACCTCATTAGTCAGTCTTGCTAGCATGTTGCCAATCATCTTGCTTTCCTTCATCTCGAGAACACAGCGTCATCGCCCTTACCAAGAAATCTTGGCACAAATTGTATGAAGAAGCTACTGGCGGCCGCCATTTTGGCCGACCGGCTAGGTTTGCTTTTTTCCCTGCAGGAAATGAAAAATTTAATATATTCATAATACTGGCTTCCTGCGTCCGAATAATATTGTTAAAATGAACCTGGGGGCCGTCATACATATTTACAGGTAAAAGCATGACTCACTAGGTGGGCGGGGCCGGGAAATGGACGCCTCACGTAACATCTGTTCTTAATATGGGTATTGTTAATTATTCGTTTAATTTGATTGGTGAACTTATTTCCAAAACAATGTGTAATACGTTTTTCAATATTAAGGTTGAGTGTGTTGGTAGTTGTTACGGCCACTATGGGCCAGTAACCGGGTTCTTGATGTTATAACCTCTTTTATAGTATCCGACCCCAAGTCGGTAGTATGCTTTCAAGAACTGGCAGTATATTGCAATACAGAATTAAAGGGGAATAAATAATACACGGTTCCCTTCACCAATATATTCCCCGTCACCAAAATATATATTATATATTATATATTTTATATATATATATATATATATATATATATATATATATATATATATATATATATATATATATATATATATATATATATATATATATATATATATATATATATATATATATACATACATACATACACACACACAATTGTGTCTCTTTCACGCAGGACACAAATACTTCAGCAGTGTCCATCAACAAACATTGTTACAACATTGTACATTGTTTGTAACAATACATTGTAACATTGTATTGTTACAAACACAGCACCCTGTCTACTTGTACTGGACAACCTGGCGAGTTCACCTTCTACATGGGCCAGTCCACCTACACAGTATCACGATGTGCCTACACCCCACCTTCGCTCTCCAGCTACTCACTGGCAGAGGGCTTCAACAACACACTGGCAGGGGTCTCAAACAAACTCATACAGGGGTAGCTAACCCCTGGCAGAAGCCTCTAGCAGCTTGCTAGCAGCACTTCATGCTAGGCATATCACTGTAACCCTTAATAGCCAATCCCGGGTACGCCGATCGTCACCAACACTGCATATACCAACAGCTAACACACTGCTAAGATCGACGGCGACTACTTAGTCTTCTTGCAGGACCAAGCTAAGGGTTCATGGACTGCCCAAGGTTAACTACTTTCCTCAGTACAACCGCCTCCGCATGTCACTTTTGTGGACATAAAACGTCATTAATTAGATGGACAGGAGACTGGGGAAACCATGAGGTAACACTTGTTCACCGGGGCAAGAGTTGACCTTATGCTCGTAGCACAACCTAGATGGCGCTGATCGTAACACGCCACCCACCAGAGGTCATCCACATCGACCTCTCTTTCTGACTACGACAGGAAACCAGAGCCATACATCGCTGCCACGCCACCACCAACAGATGGTGTTGTCCATATAGCGTCCAATACCAGGGGAGTTGGAGTGCAGACCCATAGATGGCGCTGAATTTGTCACTCTACACTCCGACGATGGTGACGATACCGTAACAGTAGTCACCCAGAAATTTACTGCCATTCATTGTTTAAATAAATCAGAGTAAATGGGTATCATAAAAAAATGAAAGTTGTGTCATCAGCAAATAGAATTGGTTTAAGTTGTTGAGCAGCGTTTGGTCGGTCATTGATAAAAATGTGAAAGAAGAGTGGAACAATATACTACGTAAGGCACACTAATTTTACTTGGCATTATGGGAGGAGTAGCATCGTTCACAGAAACACACTGCTGCCTGTCACTGAGGTAAGACTGTTAGTTTTGTAGGTAGTGACCCCGGACTCCATAGTGGTGCAGTTTGAGAAGGTTTTGTCCTTCTAGTCAGGCACGTATCGTATCTACAAGTTGTCCCTCCCCTGGGATATAGACCTTCACAATACGTCATACAAAACTTGACAGTTTGCGACCAGTCGAATCCTCTCTTCTTCGCCAGCTTGTAGTAGCAAACTGGGCAATTAGAGAGAAGGTTGATCAACTTCGCACACCATTACAGTCTGTGTCAATGAGCATAAACAATCAGCTGCAGGCCTCCAAACTATCGTTTCGTGAAAGGTTTGTAGGCTGGGTAGTGCGATCAGAGCCCATGGCCGCACTCAGTGACTGCCAGAGTGCAAGTGTGCTCCTTGACCATGAATATTACCAAACGTCACCGAATAGTCTAGAGCCGATAAACATTCCAGTGCCAGAAAATAGAAAAGACCTTCCAAAAACATATCCCACCTTCTCATAATGCAACTCGCTCTTGCACAAGACAGCACATATATGACTTATTGCTTATAGTCACTATTTTGCTTATCAATAAGTACATACGTGACATATTCCAAGCCATATTTTTTTTCAAGGCACTAACTGTTCCTCTCAGTTTTATTAAACAATAGAAATTTTATACAAAATTTGACAATATCCTGAGTTATTTTACAATTTATTTAAATATTTTAGTTTTGCTTTATTGTTTTTATCATTATACTCAACATATATCTTGTGCTCACCAAATAAACTAGGTTTTCATTTATAATCTAATATTTATTCGTTAATTAATTGTTGTATATCCACAGGAATCAGCGAGAATTTGCGAACAAGTTTGGAACACGAGGCGTCCATCTCATCGAGGCGTTGGGCACTGGTTACAACCCCAACCTGCACAGTAACCTCACTCCAGCACCCGACAAGCAGGTGGCCAGAGACCTCCACCAGCGCAGTAACCCCGTTCCTGCACCCGACAAGCAGGTGGCCAGGGACCTCCACCAGCGCAGTAACCCCGTTCCTGCATCCGACAAGCAGGTGGCCAGGGACCTCCACCAGAGCAGTAACCCCGTTCCTGCATCCGACAAGCAGGTGGCCAGGGACCTCCACCAGCGCAGTAACCCCGTTCCTGCACCCGACAAGCAGGTGGCCAGGGACCTCCACCAGCGCAGTAACCCCGTTCCTGCACCCGACAAGCAGCTGGCCAGGGACCTCCACCAGCGCAGTAACCCCGCGCCAGCCAACTACAACTCCGTCAGATAGGACAAGCAGCAATCCAATTATAACTGGAAAGTTAGGAATAAATATTACAGAACAAGTCCACAGGAGCCTTGATGAGGGTTTGAACCTATGCGCTGATGAAGCCTAACCGGGATTTCACACAATTCCCCAATGCAATTGGGCTCTGTCAACCAGAAGTACTACTACCACTGACGCTCCCACTTCAATACACAGTGAATTGTGTATCGAAGTAGGAGCGTCAGAGGTAGTTCTACTGGCTGACAGAGTGCAATTGCATGGGGGAATCATGTGAAACTCCAGTTAGACTTCAGTGGAAGCCTCGGTACCCTCGTGGGTGCAGCAACAGTTCAGGTTGCAATTCTCTTTCCATGTGGTGGTACAGTTGACTAGCAACCTGTCCTCTTAAAAATAACGTCGCTTTTGGCCGTTTGCCCGTATTGCCGAAAGTGGACGTAATTTGAAAATGAAAAAAAATGAAAATAAATTTGGGATTTTTCGTTCAACAACTGTAAGTTAAGGGTCCTCTGGTAGGTTAAGTGGACAGGAAATTCTCATAAAGTTTTAAAACGTCATGAAAAATGTTAATTGAAAGTTTCCTCTCCTAACCTTTCTGAGTATGCCGGACGACTCAAACAGAAAACGGGACAGTACGTCACTTTTGTGAGTCGATTTAATTTCAAATTACGTCCACTTTTGGCCATAGCGCGCATACCAGCGAAAAGTGACGATATTTTTAAGAGGACGGGTTGTGACTAGAGCGCATCTGGGAACACTCAGCGCATAGGTTCGAACCATTATCAAGGCTCCTGTGGCTTTGTTCTTTGATATATCCGTTAATGTGATTTCTCTATGTAATAAATATTATATTATATGCAGTTTGTCTACCTTATGTTAGAATTAAAGGTACGTATTTAAGTCAACATAAGTTACATACATAAGTACTTACTTTGAATGTACTTACATATATTGAAAGTATTACACATACACACACATGTGTGTATATATATGTGTGTGTATATCACGAAAATAAACACGTGTATATCAGGAAAATAAACACGTGCTGTTCTAAGCAGCAGCCTTAGCTGCGGCTTAGAACAGCACCACTACACTTAACCCACCACCACTTAACCCACTACACCATCAGACTGATGGTGTAGTGGGTTAAGGCGTACTAGTTATGGCAGCTACTGGAAGGTAGTTGTGCTTTCTGGGTTCGAGGCCCACTGGTGGGTGTTGTCCAAACTATATATATATATATATATATATATATATATATATATATATATATATATATATATATATATATATATATATATATATGCGAACAAGCCTGAATGGTCCCCAGGACATATATATATTTATATATATATATATATATATATATATATATATATATATATATATATATATATATATATATATATATATATATATATATATATATATATATATATATATATATATATATATATATATTTCGGCAGGTAGCCGAAAAAGTTAGGTTAGGTAGTCGGAAAATAATTAATTCATGAAAACTTGGCTTATTAGGCAAATCGGGCCTTGCATGGTAGGCAGAGAAGTGCGTTCTGGCTACTAGGTACGACATATATATATATATATATTTTTTTTTTAAACCTAGAAGGGGTACCACCTCTGGTGCAAGTGTAGGGACCCAAAGCCTCGGAGAAGAAAATAAAGAGTACTCAGAGAAGACCTTGTGGATCCTCACTGAACACTTTGATATTTTCTTCTCCTACCATCCCTATTCTTTTGGTATGTGTGTATATTTATCTAACTTTATTTGAAAAAGTCATTACACAAAAAAAGTTACAATATTGATTACATGCAGGGTACAAGGCTGCTTGTCACAAGTTGAACAGCTCCTCCAACTCCTCAGATGGCGGGCAGGAACCATGGATGCAGTGAGCATTTCCTCTCTGGATTGCCACACTAAGGCGCTGAAAAAGAAAACTGGCAGCTCTAGGGTCTCTAGTTGTTTCGATTAGCTTAGACCCCAACTCCTTCAAAAAGCTAGCAGCACTTTTACCCCAGGCACCAAGTGTCTCTGAGGCAATGGGGACAAAACTGTAGTGGTGCTCAAGGTCTCTGTATTTACGTGACTTGGCCGCTTCCCGGTGATTGGCAGCTCCTCCTGCTTGTGTAGCACTGAAGTCAACATGGGTATTGGCTAAAGTTGAAACGCAAGTGTAGTCCCACACCAACTGTCTACCATTCTTCCAGGGGTTCACCGTGATTCCGTCTGAGCGACCGACAGGCTCATCAGAGTTGCGGGACATTAGGTAACGGGGCTCTCTCTCTGCTGGACAACCGGCTGTGGTAAGGCTTCTCTTAATAATGTCGTTAACCTCGCAGTGTCTTGCATGCCATCCTCCTGTCCTTGGGCAGAGAAGGCCATGCCGTCCATATCTGTCGGCCTCTGCCTCGCCGCAAATACATATTTGGTGTGGATTGGGGCAGCTAGGCGGAGAGCCACGGCAATTCGGAGGGCCTGCGGTGTGAGACAGGTGCCGGTTGCTGACATTGAGGTTGCTAATAGGAAATCACCTGCATGGGGAGCTGCTACAGCTCTAAGTCGGGCAGTGTCATGTGGTGTTGTTGCAGCTTCTAGCAAAGTCGCAGCTTCTTGGTCGGCAATAGGGCGATCCCAGCTGGATTGCTTATGGGTTTCAGAAGGCGGTGGTTGGGGTGCTGGTCCTGCGAGAGAGACCCATTTGGTTGTGCAGTCTGTGAAGCTGGGATCATGTACCCCTGCCTGTTGAACTAGGTGCTCAGGTAGGATTTCCTTCACCAAGTTGTCAGACCCCACTGAAGAGGACAGGAACACTGGTACAGCAATTTGTGTTGCTGTGCGCACGCCAAGGCCCCCGAGTCTGACAGGAAGGGAGGCCTGTTTCCACTGTGAGTCGCTGAGGGGAAAGATTGAGGGCTTTTTCTAGTGTTGATTTCAGCAAGCTGTCGTACTCTTCTAATTTAATATTGTTGAAAGATGGCGAACATCTTAGAAAGTAGGTCAGCCTGGGGAGGGACAAGCATCTGGTGATGAGGTAAAGTGCATCATGAGCATCGATGTCTTCAATCCTCTCGTTCATCCTCTTCAGGTCAGTGGTCTTCTTACCAAGGACCCCGTCGATGGCATTCCTTCCAAGAGGAGCACCTAGGAGTGTGCTGTCCTCAGGGTTGGTTGTATGAATGTCAGGCAAAACAACCTTTATTTGCTCTATTATGCGCTGGTTAGTGGAGGTTATTTCGCACTTGGAAGGGTTCAGGTAAGGCCTAGGCTTGCTCCTTGCTCCTGAATTATTCTTATGTCGTCCAAGAGTGAGGCTGGGGAGCCGGCTAGAGTACCATCGTCCAAAAACCAAATGTTGAGCTCACTGGACAGGTTATCGGTGACTTCCTTGATAACTAGACAGAAAAGAAAAGGAGCAAGGGGGTCACCCTGTTGGACACCTTCTTGTGATTCAATTTCGTGTTCCCCAAAAAGCAGAGTTAGATTCTTGCTGTAGCATGAGTTTACAAACGGGTAGAGGGAAGGAAAAAGGCGATGAACTGCACTGTGTACTGCATCCCTTGTAACCAGATTGAAAGTATTTTTGAAGTCCAGCTTTATCAGGGCTTTTTCATCCGTAATGTTGGCAATGTAGGCTCTAGCTGCATGTGCCACTGCCTCACACCCTTGGGGAATGCCAAACCCAAGCTGTTTTGGCTTCAGCATGTCGGCTGCTGCCTGACTAACTGCTCTAGCAGCAGCCTTAGCGACGAGAGGCCGGAGTGAATTGCCCACAGCTATCGGTCTGATTCCTCCATCTTTTTTCCTCGGGGCACAGAGGGTAGCGCCAAAAAAGAGAGGCCGTATGATCTCTGGTATGTTGCCAGCTAGACATGTGTTGGCGAATCTAGTTAGTTCCACCAGGAGGCCCTGTGCAATGTCTCCCAGTGCAGGGTTGAGCATTTGTTTGATGTGGTTGGGTCTTAGTCCTGTGAACCCACCTGCTGATCCTGGTGGGAAGGATAAAGCTGCTTTATGCACCATGGATTCGAGCACACACAGGGGTTCTGCTCTGCTGACACCGACTAGGGGAACACTGTCGTCACGAGAAGCTCTGGGTGGGTGTTTTTCCCTCAGGGCTTGTGCTGTATGGGCATCCCTGGTGGCAACTGTGTCTTCACTGGTGATGACTCTGATCGCACCTATTGTGTTGCCTTCTTCTATTTTCTTGCTGACTGTTGCTCTGATTTTGGATGCCTCGGGTCTGCTGTTGATACCTTTCCTGCCCTGGGTGTTTTTGGCACCCACGGTTTTTGGTTATATATATATTGTTTTTTAATCACATAACAGTGTTCTAATTACGTGTTTATTTTCGTGATATATATATATATATATATATATATATATATATATATATATATATATATATATATATATATATATATATATATCACGAAAATAAACACGTGATTAAAACACTGTCATATATTATAGTCTGACACTGTCATATATATATATATATATATATATATATATATATATATATATATATATATATATATATATATATATATATATATATATATATATATATATATATATATATATATATATATATGTCGTACCTAGTAGCCAGAACGCACTTCTCGGCCTACTATGCAAGGCCAGATTTGCCTAATAGGCCGAGTGATTTTTTTTATTTTCAATAAAATGTTTCCAGTTGGTTTATTTTAAATATTTTTATTATATTATATTAAGGGACCATTAGATTGTTTACTCAAAGTTGTTCAATGTCAAACAATATCTTTTGACTAGTTGTATATTAAAAGGGCTGCAATTGTTCCGAGTCTCAGTACTGCAGCTGAAATAGAAAGGAAGATTTTTCTGCTTTTTGTTTTTTTCAACGACTTTTGCACACATTCAAGTGTAAATAAATAAACACACCTTTCAGATATAATCTTTCTATGACACTTTTCTGACACATTAGCATATAATAAAAGATGAGTAGTAGGATAAGTTCTAAACCATCTTTAGTTTTCCTAATACAAATAGTCAAAGTTCCCCCCAAAATTATGCAAATATGTCATGTTTATTTCTATTATAAAATCAATAAATGAACTTAGAAAAAAATTACTACCAATTTTAGAGACATGCACTCTGCATATACGATATAAGTGTCATGTAAATTGAATAAAAAATGAAAAAGTTAGGGTAACGTTTATGTTACTTGAAAATAAATAAGAAAATAATAAAGTTTAAAGTGCTGCCATCTGTGGCTGAGGTTGACATCAACCAGTTTTCTCCAAAATTGGCTCCCTTACAGATAGGCTTATGTGCAGTCTGGTGTATAAGTTTCATGCAAATCGTCCGATAAAAAAAAAAAAATGAAAAAAAGAAACTAATTTTTTTTAACTTAATTTTTTTTCTAATCAAACTAATTATAATATATTTTTAATATATGCTATTGTGACAGCTAAGAGTCATAGATATGATTTCAGTTGACACTTATGTTTGATAATCGTTTTTGACCATTTTGGAATAATTTTGACACTTATATATATATATATATATATATATATATATATATATATATATATATATATATATATATATATATATATATATATATATATATATATATATATATATATATATATATGAGGAGGCCTGGTCGACGACCGGGCCGCGGGGACGCTAAGCCCCGGAAGCACCTCAAGGTAACCTCAAGGTAAGGTACTTCACATATTTTTATTATCCCTTCCTATTTATGCTACGATGCTGAGACTTGGACCAGATGAAACCCTTTTTAAATACAACTTGTCAAAAAAGTTTGATTGAAATCGAACGAGTTTTCATTTATTGCATATTTGGGGCAAATTGGGATCTAATGACCCCCCTTAAGAACATAAATTATTGATTTAATTATCTTAGTTTAGGTTAGGGTAGGTTGGGTTCGGTCATATATCTCCGTTAGTTGTAACTCAAATTTTAAAAAATTAAGTCATACATAATGAAATGGATAGCTTTATCACTTCATAAGAAAAAAATTAGAAAAATATTGAAATTTAGGAAAACTTGGCTTATTAGGCAAATCGGGCCTTGCATAGTAGGCTGAGAAGTGCGTTCTGGCTACTAGGTACGACATATATATATATATGTCGTACCTAGTAGCCAGAACGCACTTCTCAGCCTACTATGCAAGGCCCAATTTGCCTAATAAGCCAAGTTTTCACGAATTAATATATTTTCTCTAATTTTTTTCTTATGAAATGATAGAGCTACCCATTTCATTATGTATGAGGTCAATTTTTTTTATTGGAGTTAAAATTAACGTAGATATATGACCGAACCTAACCAACCCTACCTAACCTAACCTAACCAATCTTTATAGGTAAGGTTGGGTTAGGTAGCTGAAAAAGATAGGTTAGGTTAGGTTAGGTAGGTTAGGTAGTCGAAAAACAATTAATTCATGAAAACTTGGCTTATTAGGCAAATCGGGCCTTGCATAATAAGCTGAGAAGTGCATTCTGGCTACTAGGTACGACATATATATATATATATATATATATATATATATATATATATATATATATATATATATATATATATATATATATATATATATATATAGAGAGAGAGAGAGAGAGAGAGAGAGAGAGAGAGAGAGAATAAAATAATAAGTGTTAGAATAAAAATTACCTACAGACAAAAATCAGAGGATACAACTGACAATTTACTATAAAACCAAAAAAACGGCCAGCCTACTCATGAGAAACTCTCCAAACACAAAGCAGAACGCTTTAAAAGGGACCAACGTCGTCTATGCCTTCAAATGCCCTCTTGGGGACTGTAAGCCTAAAAAAACCCAGTATATAGGCAAGACAACAACATCTCTTTCCAGGCGTTTAACGATGCATAAGCAATCGGGCTCCATTAAGGAACATATAATCTCTTCCCACAACCAAACCATCACCAGAGAAATCTTAGCAAACAACACAGAAATCATCGATAGATACAGCGATAGCAGGCGGCTTGACATCTGCGAGGCACTACACATCGAGAAGTCAACACCAGCAATCAACAGCCAATTAATGCACAGCTATATTCTACCCACTTCAAGACTCCGCTCCAATATAGAAGCATCAAGAAATATGGGCCAATAGGCCCTCTGCAATTACTTCCATTCTTACCTTCAATACCCATTATTTCGTATTCTGTCTTGTGTTGAAAGTTTGTTTTCATCTCATCCAAAACTGTTGTAACATATCACCTCACCCAAATGCAGGTATAAAAAAAAAATCGAAGATGTTTAAGCTCTATTCAGTTATAGTTCAGTTGTGTGTGTGTAAACTAAAGTCTTTGAAAATGTAATAAGTTTTACGAAACGCGCTCAAGTGTCGCGTCAGACTAGAAATAAAAATGAATTTTGGAGAGTTGATTTTTCAATTACCATCAACAGTGAAAAGGAACATAAGAAAGATCGAGAAAGTTCGTGTCAGAATAATTAATCTTACTTTTTCGGTCATATTTAATATATATATATATATATATATATATATATATATATATATATATATATATATATATATATATATTTTTTTTTTTTTGTTTTTTTTTTAAATTTATATATATATATATAATTTTTATATATATAAATTTTTATATATATATATATATATATATATATATATATATATATATATATATATATATATATATATATATATATATATATATAAATTATGGCAATACATTATTCTTGAAAGACCTGAAGCATTTATTTAAGGCATTTATTTAAGATAGATGATTACAGCTTATAACACATGATGCCGTAACATTACGTTCACTATATGTTATGGTGATGAACTTCCTCATGGGATGACAGTGGCCTGGGTGGCCTCAGACTCGATGCCACACTCGTCAGTGCCTCGCCTGACCCTGAAGAAGCCGTCCTCGCCCCAGTCAGCGCCCCACGAGTTCTTCACCGCCCAGAACTTCTCCCCCGTGGTCTCCTCCACCCCGTAGCCCACCAGCAGCACCTCGTGGTTAGTGTCCTGGCAACACCCAGAGAACGTGGGTAAATATTGTAGGGGTGAAAGTGGGTTTCAGTGACTGTTTCGTCTTGGATTCAAGTGATAGGAAATCCCCAGTAAATGTTATTGACAAACTACGTAAGCCATACAGGTAGTTAGGCATATATGTGCGTAAAACTTATGCTTTGTGGGATTATAAACTGGTCTAAACCAACTGAAATTGGTATTGCAAGGTTGGAAAAATAAGAACGTTTTATAAAATTCCATAATTTTTTCTCTAAAAATGGTGAAAATACAATTGAGATTTTTTTTTCCAAATAATGGTTCTAAAATAACTATTTAATAATTCAATTATCACATGAGAGATATAATTCGAGTTTTTATAGATAATTTCTTTAATACTGCATCATGAGGCTCTCATATAGTTATATAATAATTGCATAAATAATTTGTGAAAAATAATTGCATAACTAAGGAAATCAGTTGACGGAGTTGAAACATGTGCATTCTCACCAAGATGAACTCACCTAGATGTGCTCACCTAAATATGAGCACACCAGATGTACTCATTTAGATGTACTCACCTAGATGTAGTCACCAAGGTGTACTCACCTAGATGTACTCACCAAGATGTACTCACCAAGATGTTCTCACCAATATGTACTCACCAAGATGTACTCACATAGATGTACTCACCAAGATGTACTCACCAAGATGTACTCACCAAGATGGTGTCTGTCTCCGTCTACCTGTGTGCTTGTGTCTGTCTCTATCTGTATCTCTCTGTCTATCCGTGCGTAACTCTCTCTCTCTCAAGATCTTTGAGTCTCCAGATCAAATATGTCATTTGCTTAAAAAAATGTTTCAAGGTGCCTTGACAAAACGACAGAAACCAATATTTTCTGCCTTAATTGCAGACAAAATTTTTTGCAAATGAACCCGCAAAACGAAGCCAAATACTAAACATTTACGCCTGTAGGTACTATAATTTGAAGAAAATTTACTTTAAGAAAATACAATGACGCTGAGCTGCCATACCTGCAGGGGGTTGAAACCGTTGGACAAGCCGGTGTGATGGTAGATGCCTCCGCTGTAGCTCACGAAGTCGTCGTAGACCATGAAGGCCAAATTAAAGGGTCCGCCATCAACGAGAGCCTCCAACATCGCCTCCTCGTTGCAACCTCCGAAGAAGTCGCCCACATAGTGGTACTCGCTGACGTAGGTACGCGGGCAGCTCTTGTTGGTGTTACACGGGTCATCCTGCAATATTTAGTCTTATATATATATATATATATATATATATATATATATATATATATATATATATATATATATATATATATATATATATATATATATATATATATATATATATATATATATATATATATATATATATATATATATATATATATATATATATATATTAGTATATTTTGGTAGCAATCTTTCTTGCAAACATATAATGTTTAATATGACCGAAAGGGTAAGATTAATGATTCAAACACGAATCTTCTCAATATGTCTTGTTTTTCTTCACTGTCAAGGAAAGTTGAAAAATTAACTCTCAAAGGTTCCCTTTTACAATCCATTATAATCTGACGCTTGGGGATGCCTTTTGCAAGGTACACCTTACATTTTCAAAGACAATTTTACCGTGTTTAACAGCGAATTATATACTCTTTGGATGAGGTGGTGGATGAATGTCATAACATGGGGGTATTAAATGGGTATTAAATGTCTCAATGAATAAATGGATCAGGGGTATTAATTGGGTATTCAATGTATCAACAGGGCAGCTTATGTTCCTTAAGTAGGGTCATTGGATGCAGTCTCTGCGTTGGCTCCGGGTCTTGAAGTGAGTACACTATAATTATGTGTTAGCTGGTTGTTGATTGCTGGTCTGAACTTCTTATTATGTCGCGCCTCGCTGATGTCCAGTCTTCTGCTGTCTTTATATCTGTCGATTATTTCAGTGTTGTTTGTCAAGATGTCTCTGGTGATGATCTGGTTGTGTGTGGAGATTAATGTTGATAGACTAATTACGCTTGTTCCTAATAATTTGTGTTGTGTTGTATTACATTACAATAATTGAGTATCAGCTGTTTTCAATTATCAAGTTTCACCTATTTAAAGCAATGCCAGTTATATTTTTGATTCCATTAAGGAAGGTAAGTGTTTTTTTCGTAGAGCTGCAGTCCATTTCATGGTAAGTTTGTTACCTGAAATGGTTAGTTACCATGAAATTCCTCACCTATATACCTCACCACTTTATACTTAAGTGTTGCCCACCTGAGCAGTGTAGGGGTTGCACTCCTCGGCGACCACTCCCTGGTCTTGGGAGTATCTGCCTGCAATGAGGTAGCCAAAGCCTCCGTCACAGCCTTGAGACAGCAGAGAGCACGACACCACGTCCTGAAGAACGACACCCAACTAAATTCTTTGTTTGGGAAATGTTAAAATAAAAAAAGAAGATTTTACTGGGTTTTGATTAAATATAATCACTTTTGCACAACTGTGGTGAAACCCTTTTTGACAAAGAAGAAGTAAAGCAAAGTAACAATGCAATAAAATCACAGGAGAACAATCTGCTCCCACATCTTCACATATGAGTTATTAACAACAATGTAGCTCCCACACCATGAACCTGTTTAGCCTAGAGTAACAGAGAGTGGGAATTCTACTGGACATATTCAATATATATTAGTATAAATTTACTAACGCTATACCAGAAATAATACTTAATAAACTATAAAATATTAAAGTCATGTCAAGACATAATAAAGGCAGAGTAATCCTAGGGCCCGATTCACGAAGCAGTTACGCAAGCACTTACGAACGTGTACATCTTTCCTCAATCTTTAACGGCTTTGGTTACTTTTATTAAACAGTTTACAAACATGAAAACTTGCCAATTAACTGTTGTTATTGTTATAAACAGCCTCCTGGTGCTTCGGAACTCATTAACTGTTTAATAATTGTAAACAAAGCCGCCAAAGATTGAGAAAAGATGAACAGGTTCGTAAGTGTTTGCGTAACTGCTTCGTGAATCTAGCCCCTAGTCAGTAATAATAGCACACAAGCCACGCTGGGAAAATATAACTACAGACGAGTCGTGTGAGCTGCACAATTGTTGTTGTTGCTTTAGATTCAGTTACTCCGAACAAAAGTTCCAAGTAGCACGGGCTATGGTGAGCCCGTGAGCTGTACACTATGTCATAGCACTGAAGTACGTTTATAGCTTATAAAAAATATTAGATCAAGAAATATGAATGTAAAAAATAAAAATTGATGCTCGCTCAGCTATTAATGGATGTCGATTTCAAATGACCATTATTAACACACTAATATTACATATAAATATATATACATCTGTCTTTCTGTCAATCCATCGATTTATCATCTATCCATATATTCATCCATCTATATGTCCATCTATGCATTAATCTATCCATCTGTCCATCAATCTATACATCCATCTTTCCACATATATATATCTATCCATCCATCTATTCATCTATCTTTCTATCCATCCATATCTGCATCCATCTATCCATTCATTTATACATCCATCTATCCATTCATTTATATATCCATCTATCCATTCATTTATACATCCATCTATCCATTCATTTATACATCCATCCATCCTTTATTCTGTCCATCTATTCATCCATCTGAGAAAATCCGTAGGATCTATGAGGGGGATTCAAACCCACTCACTTGGTTCTCCCAAGCAGGTTCAAATCCTACCCTTGGATCCAACAAATTTCCTCACTGATACATCATATTAATGTTATTTAATTGGGCTTCTATCCACCGATCTATCCGTCCATCTACCGATCTATTCATCTACATATCTATCCATCCACATATCAATCCCTCAATCCATCTGTCTACCTGTTCATCTATCTATCTATCCATCTATCGATCTATTCATCCATTTATCTATTCATCCATGTAGCTATCCCTCAATCCATCCATCTATATATCTACCCTTCTGTCTACCCATCTATCTATCCATCCATCTATCCAAACATCTGTCCCTCCAATTACTCGTCTATATATCTGTATCTCTCTTTTCATCTCTATCTTTATACGAAACGAAAATTTTAAATTTGTTTATTTTCAAATTAAATAGTTATCCTATTAGTTTGCAACTTTGAGACGTTAGTGAAGTGCGGCGATGAGAAGAAAAAGCAGTTTTGAAGTTGTGTATTTATGGTAGTATGGCTAAAGTTTGAAAATTTGAAAATTTATTTTGGTTTTCCTGAAATCAGTCAAAAATGTTGTATATTACTGTAAACAATTTAGTTTGGTGGGTGTTGATTTACATGTTTTATTGGACTACAACCAAAATACTGATTTCCTGAATATTCTGTCGTTTCCCCAGCACCAGTTAATTATAAGAAAAATCATTGATTTGAAATTTTTGTTTTCAAAATATATACAGGGTTAACCGGCAGCCAGTGCCAAAAATCATCGTGGGGATCTGAATGTGACTCTGGCACGCTGTTCCCTTTAGCATTTTGGTGACCCCCGACCAGCCTATGTTTATCCCGTACCCCAGACCATTCCCTCTGCTAATTTGGGTGAGCCTACCGCAAGGGACAGAGACAAACATATAGGCAAACCACCTTTCTTATAGTATAGATATATCATTACCACTCCACCATAAAAGTGTCACAGAGCATTAACAATAATATACATGCAAGACACACCACTCACTTTTAGTTGGTCCATAATTAATACTTTTGATATATCACACATGCCTACTTAGTCTCAGAGTCTATCAGGACTCTTCCTGCCACTAGAATCAGTGGCAGGAAGATTGTCACTGGATTGTCACAGACAATCACTAGTCCGCACCACTACACAACATGCTATTATAAATGGAATTAATCTCGTGTAAAATGTACGTATTACAGTTGATTACTTGCACTTTATGAGTAATTCCTCATGATAATTAATAGTGGACGTTCTATTCTACTGTGACTATCTTGACCTGTCAGGATAAGGATTGACGTTGCAATTCGACTTCCATAACAGTGACTAGGATTAGCAGTAAGTATTCATCTACCATATAACAATAAGTGTAATCACTTAACCACTTTGGCTGGACGGTAGAGCGACGGATTCACATCATACAGGTCAGCGTTCAATCCCAGACCATCCAAGTGGTTGGGCACCATTCCTTCCCTTCGTCCCATCCCAAATCCTTATCCCGATCCCTTCCAAATTCTATATAGTCGTAATGGCTTGGTGTTTTCTCCTGATAATTCCCTCCCCTTCCTCAATGTTCTCCCAATAGCTGGATGTCTGGCGTGGACACAAGCAGTAACATAAATTACGTATTGGTGAACCTAGGATAACTATGACTAGTAATTCCTTTACGCTCGGCACATCACACTTGCCACTTGCTTTCAGCCTTGCAGTTTTTCTTATTGCTGAAAAGTATTTAAAAAAGTAGGTCTTCCGATATTGCTGTCATAAATTAGATCATCCCTGTTCCATCTATTAAACTGCCCGGCATATGACACTTCAAATGTGGTTAATGACTCGTTGACCATAGTGCATCAGAGGGCAAGTATTTCCACGACAGTCATCCAAGTGATGACTTACGACCCAATTACAGGAGGGGCTCGTTGATGCATTATCTCACAGGTCGCCTCCCAGTGACTACATCAGGTCACATCACTTGTAGAGAGTTGACAAGGGAAAAACAACATTTTGTTTGCACAAAATTACAAAAAATCAGATATCCAAACCAAACAAATATTAATTGGCTGTCCCTCGTGTTAGCTGTTGATGAGTGTATCTCAAAGAGGTCTGAGTAATGCAAGACTGGAATGTAATATCATGTTCTATATCCTGATAATACAGCACATGCACCGGTTTGGTTTATTTATGAATCTTCTTCAGGGACCCTATATGTGATTGACCATACTCATCTCTCGGGTCATGATGCATCATCTTCGTAATCCCTCAAATTATTGTCTTTTACCTGAATGGTCAACATCTTCGGTGATGGTGATAGTCCGCGCCTATCTGGCCACTTGCTATATTGCCCCATATGAGGGGCCAACTATCGTGAAATCCCTCCCTTGCGAGGGGGGATTACCTTACTGACCATCGTCTGAAAGGTCAGTTGCGTTATAGCCTCCTTCAAGCAAGGTCGTTTACCTTTGTATCTCTTCACCCGCGTGACTTCTCACCTTGCTGCCCCTGACTTTTGTTGCTAATTGTCTTGTAGTCTCATAGTGTGATTCACACTGGTAGTCCCTCGCCTTCGTCGTCACTCAATTCGTGATCTTTCTTATTCGATGTGAATAGTATTTTATTTAATGCAATCGCCTGGTACCCTAATTTGTACTGTCATGCCTCTGGTCAGTCTCCTTGGTCACGCCTCACCTGAAGATCTTGTGGCCCGTCACCTGTACAGACTCTCACCCTTCCCTTCCCTATATGATTACTTGCACAAGTATGCGCTCCCCTGCGTGTACCTTAATGTTGTTGGTCCCCCACACGCCTCGTCTCTTATAGGTACCCCAGTATATGACAGTATATGAGAAGATTTTCATCATGGCGGCTTCTTATATGACACTCCGCTTCCAGAAGTATCACGTCGTTAACTCCATTGCTGCCTTTTGTCTGGTTGATTTCAATCCAAGGCAGAGTTACTTAGACTGAGTTAACAAGACTTAACTTTCACGCCTGTTACTTAATAAGTAGACCCGAACTTGATGGGTCTCTTACTTGAGTAATTGCCAACCACGACCACCTCACAGCGAAAGGAATCCAAACCCATAGAGCTTGTTACTAGAGACCAGTGACTGGTTGAGTCGTTTATCCTAATGACTCCTTACCCGGCCAGGTTTTTACTCCAACGAGCGAGCCTACAAGAAAGTAACCACTCACCTGGGTGGAGAAGACATCCTGACGCTGGTTACGGGTGGCGATCCTGACCCTGGCTTCCAGCATACCCAAGGAGGCGAAGGCAAAGCAGGAGCCGCAGGACTCTTGATCTCTCACATCAGACACGTAGTTAACGCCATCCACGTCCCGCCAGTCGAAGTTCTCAGGTAGAAAGGCAGCGCGGGCCTTCTGCTCAGGGGTGGCCGGCGCCGGCTTGGGCGATGCGTGGCGCGGCGCTCCCGTGGCGCCGGCGCGCTTCTGCATCTCTCCCACTGTATATCTACGTAGTTATTTATATTTAGTAAAAATATTAATATTCAATATTTCTGGGCATTCCGTATTCCGGTTACAATCTCAGTGAAATTTTAATTTAAGTGAACTAGGTATCTTATTCATCTTAAAATTCAATATCTTTAAGTTTACTCTTATATTTTTTATACCTTTTAAGACTATGTTTAACAAGTTTTTTGCTTGCAGAATTTTAATAACTTACAAATATTGCCAAAACTTAGCATCCACTAAGAACTGACATTTAATAAAATGTCTGAAAACACATATTGGTGTATGGAACGAATTTGATCTGACCTAGAAATATCACCTCTGGAATTTAAGACGTCTGTCAGTCAAGTCAGTTTTAGTCTCACCTCTCGTGCTTGGGGTAGGCTTTGGCCCGCCAGGAGCTCTGAGAGGTGTTGATATCCTCTATCATCTTATGGTCATTCTTGAAGAGTTGTGTCGAAGACACCTTCTTCAGATTTTTGGACGTGCGGGGAGTTGTCTTCATCAACAGTGACAAGAAAAATAAATATATCAACCATATATATATATATATATATATATATATATATATATATATATATATATATATATTAGTATATTTTGGTAGCAGTCTTTCCTGTAGACATATATTATTAAATATGACCGAATTAATCTTACTTTTTCGGTCATATATAATAATATATATATATATATATATATATATATATATATATATATATATATATATATATATATATATATATATATATATATATATATATATATATATATGTCAAAGCACCAGAAAGAAAAATAATTAAAATTTGGGTTGAGATCAATATTCCTCATTTGCATACATGAGGCTGAGGTGTGGCGCTAGATTTTCCCTAAAAACAAATGCAAATATGTATGATTGTGTAAATATATAGGATGGCAGAAGTATTTTTTAGATCTGGAAAATGTCTTACACAAAGTGTTGTGTGAAATATATTGAGCACAGTGTATATAAAATATATTGAGCATAGTGTATGTAAAATATATTGAGCAATCTGTGTGTGAAATATATTGAGCACTGTGTATGTGAAATTTATTGAGCACTTTGTGTGAGAAATATATTAAGCACTATTTGTGTGAAATATATTGAGCACAGTGTGTGTGAAATATATTGAGCAACGTGTGGGCTTAAACATATTGAGCACCATGTATTTGAAATATATTGAGCGCTGTGAAATATATCGAGCACTGTATGTGTGAAATATATTGAGCACCGTGTCTGTGAAATATATTGAGCACTGTGAAATATATCGAGCACTGTATGTGTGAAATATATTTAGCTTTATATGTGTGAAATATATTGAGCAGTGTGTGTTTGAAATATATTGAGAACTGTGTGTGTGTGAAATATATTGATATATAGAGTGAGCACCATGTGTGAGAAATATATTTAGCACTGTGTATGTGAAATATATTAAACACCGTGTGTGAGAAATATATTGAGCCCTGTGTGTGTGAAATATATTTAGTACTGTGTGCGTGAAATATAATGACCACTATGTATGAAAAAGGCTATGAGGACGAAACGTAAGGAAATAATTCGAAGTTAGGAAGATTAAAATGTAAATGTCAATGAATAAATATAAGTATGAGAGAAATATTATTAATAAAGATAAGTGTAAGAACATTAAGACTAATAAAGATAATAATGGGAGAATAATAACTATAAAAAGAGAATAGAAGAGTATCAACTAAGATAAGTATTGGAAAATAATGACTTATAAAGTACACAAGAATAACTAATCAAAACTAATTATTAAGGAATAATAAATATAAAATATTAGTATGAAGGAATAATAACAAATAAAAATAAATATGGAAGATAAGACGCTAATAAATAAAGTATTAAAATATAGTTATCAATAATAAATAACTTTACAATAAGTGGAGAGTTTTAAAAAATATTGATTAGTTGAACCAATATATATATATATATATATATATATATATATATATATATATATATATATATATATATATATATATATATATATATATATATATATATATATATATATATATATATATATATATATATATATATATATATATATATATATATATATATATATATATATATATATATATATATATATATATATATATATATATATTTATATATATATTTATATATATATATATATATATATATATATATATATATATATATATATATATATATATATATATATATATATATATATATATATATATATATATATATATATATATATATATATATATATATATATATATATATATAAGACAATAACAGACTTGGTACATGTGAGAGGAGAGCCAGACAGAATAACAGGAGGTATATCCATGGAACAATCAACAGCCTCAGTATAACAGAATAACGGGAGGTATGTTCAGGGAACAATCAATAAAAAGCAAACGACGGCTACTTCAAGGTAACGAAGAAGAAATATCGAAATTCATTTGAAATCTGTATGAATTGGGGTGTGAATAATTACAGTTATTATTATTCTGTTCCTTATTCTCATATCAGATATAGACAAAAATACACGTCACAGCTTCGTGTCATCCTTCGCAGATGACACAAAAATCAGCATGAAAATTACCTCTGCTGAAGACATTGAAAAATTACAAGCAGATGTCAACAAAGTTTTCGATTGGGTAGCAGAAAATAACATGATGTTTAACTGTGATAAATTTCAGGTACTCAGGTACGGCAAAAATGAGAATCTGAAACATAATACAGGGTACAAAACACAATCGAATCTTCCCATAATAGAAAAACAGCATGTCAAGGATTTGGGAATAATGAAGTCTGACGATATAACGTTTAGGGAGCATAACCAAGCAAATATGCTTCAGCCAGAAAAATGATAGGATGGATTACGAGAACTTTCAAATCCAGGGATCCCATTACAATGGTTGTACTCTTCAAGTCACTTGTGTTGTTCCGTCTCGAGTACTGCTCAGTACTCATTTCTTCCTTCAGAGCAGGAGAGATTGCTGAAATAGAGGGAATACAGAGAACATATACGGCACGCATAGACGAGATAAAACACCTAAATTATTGGGATCGTCTCAAAGCTCTCCAAATGTACTCTCTAGAAAGGAGACGAGAGAGATACCAAATAATATACACATGGAAAATACTGGAGGGCCAGGTCCCAAATCTACACAGAAATTCCGGATCAGCTGGGCTGTGGTGGGTATGTGGGCCTGCGGGCCGCTCCAAGCAACAGCCTGGTGGACCAAACTCTCACAAGTCGAGCCTGGCCTCTGGCCGGGCTTGGGGAGTAGAAGAACTCCCAGAACCCCATCAACCAGGTATCAAGCAGTTATGAGCTGAAATGACTGTAGCTGTTACCAGAGGAATTGACGCAGTCGGAGTTACAAGCAACCAGCTGGTGCAATGACTCCGGCAGGGTGAGGCCGACACCTCATGGTGTGAGGGGTAAACAATTATTAATTGGCAATACAATGGAGGGCAATAATTGGGGGCAATAATTGGGTCACAAACGCCCTGGGCCGCTGAGAGTAACGTTCCACATGACCACTGTGGGATCCGTGGCAGGCGAATAACAGACATGGTTGATGATAAGATAAGATATCGAGAACTTGAGACTAGTGATGAGTGCGTAACAATTGATATTCGTAATACTTAGCAGTTCTTGCAAGTGTCGAGAATCACAAGTTCGAGAAAAGACTTTGTATATAAATGTTTGGTTTTTATGTTTTCTGAAAGAGCAATTACAAGGGGGAAACATTTAATAAATATTCTACTGTTAGCTTCGTCCACAATCTACAACATAACCTCGTGCTCTCTGTAACCAGTTCTTATATATACACATCGGGAGTATGGAAGTTTTGTCAGCACTGCTCTGAAGGCAAAGATGTGTTTATTCAGAAGGGGAAAGGAAATCACGGGGAGAAAGTGCTAAACCAGTATGACTGCATAGCAAATGAAAGGGATATGAAAACATAATAGGAGTTGGAATAATGGGAAGTTACTACCCAAGTTGTTCTCAGATTGACGAACAAAGTCTATTGCAAACAAATAGAGTGTATCTGCAGAGTAGGAGGCGTTAAAACTAGAATACTGCCAGACGGATGACTTATTAAAGTATCATAAGCTCCTGGCTCGTTTTAAGAGAAGTGCGTAAATTAGCTAACTAAAAGACAGCCAGAAGGTTGCATCACATACAATATTATTTTGTAAGAGATTGGTGGTGGTTGAGTTGTTGCCAAAAAAGAGCCGTTACAGTATGAAATTTGAGTTTCTCTTGACAGTGTAGGAACTTGTTTTCATGTGCCGTTGTGACCACAGTCTGCAGAGGACGGTTCTTGAGGGCTGGTGGGAATTTCACCTAAAGTTACGTCTTCCTCACTGTTAATGCAATGGCCACCATTCTTATTTCATTACTGTAATATTAATGTGCTCAGGAAATATCGCATGTTATTGTATTTCTGGGAGTAAAGCCAAAGAGTTCTCATATTCTGGGGGTTAAGGAGGTATTCCAAGTATTACCTCCTTCAGAGGTGCAGACCTATCTAGAATACTGTGTAAGTCTTACACCTGTCCAAGTGGAGTGCATAACGTAGATGTAGGTAGGTTGTACAAGATTTGTTGTAATGGGAAGGAGTCTGCGGTGAAATAAAATAATAAAAGGTATGAGTGTTATCCTGTGCCCAGTGTGGGGTGAGGTAATCATACCTCTGAACGGGTTAATTTTGGCAGCAGCTTTCCTAGGGGCGCGACGCTCCCTTCATACCGACTGGGGGCTTGCTAGATCATAACACTACTATGGCAGCCCAGTAGCACTGTAGACTAATGACAATTATGTAAATAAGTAGCCACTAAAAGAGAACAGGGACCCCATATCAAGCACTAGAATAGGGTACGCATTACAGGGGACGAAGTGAAGGAACGGCGCCCATCCACTTGGACCATCGGGGATCGAACGCAGACTTGCAAGAGAGAAGGCAAGACGCTCTACCGACCAAAGTTCAGATATATAGTTAAGTGGAGTGCAATCTCTACTTTTTATGATGAAGTTTATATATTAAATATTTCCAAAGGTTAAAAAAATAAATATAATGAATGAAAATGAATGTCAGTAAGATTGAAACAACTTTCAGGGCTATTTGAAGGATTATTAAATAAATATAAATAATATACCTGGTTAACTTTGTTGGCTGTAAAGCAGGACCAGTTCCTGACCGTCTTGTCTCTTGACCAACCGTTCAAGGTGCGGTCACAGTAGGACACCGAGGAGCTGAAGTCACCTTCGTAGTAGGAGAAGGCGAAGTATGAGCGCTCGTTGATGTTCACCTCATCAGTGGAAAAAGTACAAGTTTAGTGAGATGTAACATACAATTTTATATGCTAGCCATATATAATGTTATATCAGGAGTTTAAGTCATATATAGAATAAAGGCTGGTCATAGGACAAACGTAGGCAGGTCTGGGTGGGCCTAAGTTAAAAATTTCAACCCGTCCTCTTAAAAATAACGTCGCTTTTCGCTCGTATGCGCGCTATGGCCAAATTTGGACGTAATTTGAAATGAAATCGACTCACAAAAGTGACGTACTGTCCCGTTTTCTGTTTGAGTCGTCCGGCTTACTCGGTAAGGTTAGGAGAGGAAACTTTCAATTAACGTTTTTCATAACGTTTTGAAACTTTATGAGAATTTCCTGCCCACCTAACCTATCAGAGGACCCTTAACTTACTGTTGTTGAAAAAAAAATCCCAAATTTATTTTCATTTTTTTTCATTTTCAAATTACGTCCACTTTCGGCCATACGGGCAAACGGCCAAAAGCGACGTTATTTTTAAGAGGACAGGTTGCAAAGGTTTGCCACTAGACCAGTACCCAAACTGAGGGGTATGACCTACGAGGAGAGACTACGGGAATTAAACCTCACATAGCTGGAAGACAGAAGAGTTAGTGGGGACATGATCACCACGTACAAGATTCTCAAAGGAACTGATAGGGTAGATAAAGACATTATTTAAGACAAGGGGCATATGCACTAGAGGACACAGGCGGAAATTGAGTGCCAAAATGAACCATAGAGACATTAGAAAGAATTTGTTTAGGGTCAGAGTAGTTGACAAATGGAATGCTTTAGGAAGTGATGTGGTGGAGGCAGACTCCATACATAGTTCCAGCTGTAGATATGATATAACGCAACTGGCTCAGGAACCTGTACAGCAGTTGATTGACAGTTGAGATGCGGGACCAAAGAGATAGAGCCATTGGAACAAAAAAGAATGGCAAGCACAACTAGGTGTGTGCAACTAGGTGTGTACACACACACACACACACACACACACACACACACACACACACACACACACACACACACACACACACACACACACACACACACACACACACACACACACACACACACACACACACACACACACTTGTCTTGTGACCATCGTGTTGGGTGGACGTGGGTTGGGAGCTCCTGGATCACTAGTGGAGTGGGAGGGGTAATCAGGCAACTTCGAAGTGAAAAAGACTATAAGTGAATGTACAAGTGAATGAAAAAACCTTGGGTTTTGACCAGAGCCATAAGGTAGTGAAGAAAAACAGTTTAATTAGCGTAATTCAAAATAGTTGAGGAAATACTGTGCAGTGTGAAACCAGACCTCACCGACCTCTGACCGCGTGACCTCACCTCGGCAGCAACCCTTATACCACCACGTGGGACGACGATTGGAGATTCACTCACCTATTGTGTTAGCAGATTGTGCAAGGTATTGAGGAGCGCCTTTTTGGCTAGATTGTTACTGCAATGACTAGAAGGGGTTCAAGGTCAATCACCAGCAGGGATGAGGAGGAGGACAGATTTATAGACAAATTAATAGGGAAATTTGTAGAGAGAAGGAGTGATTGGTTGGAGGATCTAATCCAGGGGATTAAAAGTGAGGTATTTCAGCAAATACAGGATGCGGTAGAGAGGCAGAAACAAGAACTTATGCTCTATGTTCAGGAAGAGATTAGGAAGGGAAGAGAGGACTGGGAGAGGGAATGTGCTCGTATCACAAACGAATTAGGAAGGTTTAGCAGCATGGCTAAGGATAGAGGATTAGTGGGAGATGGGTTAGTGACTGCGGTTGGGATGGGGAATCCCCAGGGGACAGGCTACCAGCATGACAATGAATTACTGAGGAGACGGTCTATTATAATACATGGATTATTCGAATCTAGGGCACCAACTAGACAAGAGAGAATAGAAACAGAAAAATACGAATTGCACGAGATATTGAGGTGTATTGGAGCAGAGATGGCAGAACGCGAGGTGGATATCAATCGACGGGTTGGACCCTACAATTGTACCAAGAATAGACCTGTTCTGGTGCAATTCTCCAATGAGGAGGCAGTGGAGTACATAATGAGGAGCAAGCATTTACTCAGAGGAAGTGAAACCCATTACAATGTGTTTATAGAGAGGTTTATGACGAAAGATGAGCAAACAGCCCACAAAAATAGATGGCAACAACGACAACGTACTAGCTTCTCAGGTAGTCTCACCTCCCAGGTCACATCCCAGGTCACCTCCCAGGTCACCTCCCAGGTCATCTCCCAGGTCGCATCCTCCCCAACTCAGCCCTCCTATACATCCCCCCTGCCTCAGCCTCCCAAAACCCCCCTGTCCCTTCCACATTTGCACCTCCACAACGATTCCCCTGCCCCTGCTACATCACACTTGTCAGCGACCCCAGTGGGTCAAGCAATGCCCTCCCCAAACCCACCTTCCCATCCCCCCTCCCCAAATACCCCTTCCCACTCCCCTGCCCCTTCTACCCCATTGACTTCAATTCCATCTACTCCATCCCAGCTTCCACTGCACCCCTCTTCCACTCACCCCCAAACCCCACCCAACCCTCACCCCTCCTATGCACCTCCAGCCCACATTTAACCCCCTCACCTTGTGACCCCCTAACACCTTCCCCCATCTCCCTCTTCCCCTCTTCTACCCCAAAACCCCCACCTACCCCAGATTCCCCCCTAACTAATATACCCTCTCTTCCACTCCCAGCACCCATGCTCCATTCTCATCTCAACTCTCCACCCTCAGTAGCCCTCTTCCCCCCAACCTCTCAACCTCTATCTGACTCTCAGTCTCACTCTATTTCTCAACCCCCCTATGCTATTCAGACCCCTAACTTTCAGACCCATTATGCCCTTCCTACCCCCCTAGATGCCCAGACCCCATTCGCCTACCAGGCACTCCCAGGCACCCCCCTAGCACCCCCCCACTCACCCCCACAGCCCCCACTTGCCCCCCAGACACCCCCCAGTTCCCCCCAGACCCCTGGTGAAAGGGGGAACTCTGACACCCGAGTTTCCAAGAAGAGTCTCAAGGTTTGGTACACCAATGCTGATGGGGTAGCCAATAAAGCAGAAGAGATAAAAGAAAGAGTTAGTGAGGCAGACCCAGACATAGTGGCAATAGTGGAAACTAAAATAAATGGCATGATCTCGGATGCAATCTTTCCAGAGGGGTACCAGGTGATAAGAAAAGAAAGGACACAGAGACAGGGAGGAGGAGTGGCACTACTAATAAAGCGGAAATGGAAGTTTGATGAGCTGGAAAATCCGGGTACCAATGAAAGCACAAGCTTCATACATGGAACTCTGACAGTGGATGGGAAGAAGATTGTAATCTTGATACTCTACAATCCCCCACCAAACAGTAGAAGGCCCAGGCAGGAGTACGAGGACAGCAACAAGACATGTATGGATGAACTGCATAGGGCAGCAACTTTAGCGCATAGAATGAGAGCGAAGCTGCTGGTCATGGGGGACCTAAATCACGGAGAGATAGATTGGGAAACGAGGAATCCCCATGGCGGGGAGGAGACCTGGGGAGCGAAGCTGGTAGACGTTATTGACAGGAATTTCCTAACACAGCATGTGAAAGAAGATACTAGGGAAAGAGGAGGGGATACGCCCAGCCTATTAGATCTCATTATCACTCAGAATGTAGAAGACATCGAGCAGTTGGAACATGAAATACCACTAGGAGCTAGTGACCATTGTGTCCTAGCCTTTGACTACATGATGGAGCTTAAAATTGTGACCAAAGGACAAGAGGTCCGGGAAAGGAGACTTGATTACAGAAAAGGGGACTACAGAAGGATAAGGGACTACCTGGGAGAAGTGCAGTGGGAGGAAGAACTTAGAGGAAAAACAGTGCAAGGTATGATGAACCAAGTCATATTGAAATGCAAGGAGGCTGAAGATAGATTTATTCCAACAATAAAGGAAAAAAGCAGGAGGGAATATAATAACCCATGGTTTAATAGACAGTGTCAGGAAGCAAAGGTGAGAAGCAGGAGGGAGTGGAGGAAGTACAGAAGGCAAAGGACAGAGGACAACAGGATTAGATGTAACAGAGCTAGGAATGATTACATTAACATAAGACGAGTGTCGGAAAGAAATTATGAGAACGATATTGCAGTCAAAGCGAAAAAGCAACCAAAATTACTACATAGCCATATAAGAAGGAAGATGTCGGTAAATGACCAAGTGACAAGACTGAGGAAAACAGAAGGGGCATATACAGAAAGCGACAAGGAAATCTGCGAGGTACTGAATGCAAAATTCCATGGAGTGTTCACTACCGAGCCTGAGCAGCTCCCATTGTTAGAAGAGATTACCCAAGATGAAAGACTATCAGATATAGAGGTGACAGCAGAGGATGTAATGAAACAGTTGACAACACTGGATGCAAATAAAGCTGTTGGACCAGACAAAGTATCACCGTGGATACTTAAAGAGGCAGCGCAGGCTCTCAGTGTGCCTCTGGCAATGATCTTCAATGAGTCACTTATGTCGGGAGAATTGCCCAGTTGCTGGAAGGAGGCAAATGTCGTACCGATTTTCAAAAAGGGGGATAGGGAGGAGGCACTTAACTACAGACCCGTATCACTGACAAGCATCCCCTGCAAAATACTTGAAAGAATAATTAGGCTAAGACTTGTTGAGCACCTGGAGAGCATTGGGTTTGTAAACAAGCACCAACATGGGTTCTGGACAGGGAAATCATGCCTAACAAACCTTTTAGAATTCTATGATAAAGTAACAAGGATAAGGCAGGACAGAGAAGGCTGGGCAGACTGCATATTTCTTGACTGCCAAAAGGCCTTTGATACGGTACCGCACATGACACTGCTATACAAACTTGAGAGGCAGGCAGGAGTAAGCGGAAAGGCCCTAGTATGGGTGAAGAACTACCTAACAGGAAGGAGCCAGAGGGTAATGGTAAGGGGCGAAAAGTCGGACTGGCGAACAGTAACAAGTGGAGTACCTCAAGGATCGGTGCTGGGACCAATCCTCTTTCTAATTTACGTAAATGATATGTTTACAGGAGTGGAATCATACATGTCGATGTTTGCAGATGACGCAAAATTAATGAGAAGAGTTGTGACAGACGAGGATTGTAGGATCCTCCAAGAGGACTTAAACAGGCTGCAGAGATGGTCAGAGAAATGGCTACTGGAGTTTAACACCAGTAAATGTAAAGTTATGGAAATGGGATCAGGTGACAGGAGACCAAAGGGACAGTACACAATGAAGGGGAACAGCCTACCTGTAACGATTCGAGAAAGAGACCTGGGAGTGGATGTGACACCTAATCTAACTCCTGAGGCACATATAAATAGGATAACGACAGCAGCGTACTCTACACTGGCGAAAATTAGAACTTCATTCAGAAACCTAAATGAGGAAGCTTTTAGGGCGCTTTACACTGCCTACGTGAGACCCGTCTTAGAGTATGCCGCGCCATCATGGAGCCCCCACCTGAAGAAACACATAAAGAAACTGGAGAAGGTTCAGAGGTTTGCGACGAGGCTTGTCCCAGAGCTACGAGGGATGGGATATGAAGAGCGGCTGAAGGAACTGAACCTTACGACACTAGAGAAAAGAAGGGAGAGAGGAGATATGATAGGGACATATAAAATACTCAGGGGAATTGACAAAGTGGAAATAGATCAAATGTTCACACGTAATAATAACAGAACGAGGGGACATGGGTGGAAACTGGAAACTCAGATGAGTCACAGAGATGTTAGGAAGTTTTCTTTTAGCGTGAGAGTAGTAGAAAAATGGAATGCACTTGGGGAACAGGTTGTGGAAGCAAATACTATTCATACTTTTAAAACTAGGTATGATAGGGAAATGGGACAGGAGTCATTGCTGTAAACAATCGATAGCTAGAAAGGCGGGATCCAAGAGTCAATGCTCGATCCTGCAAGCACATATAGGTGAGTACATATAGGTGAGTACACACACACACACACACACACACACACATATTGTTCATTCATTGTTGCTTCGAAGTTCTATTTTGTAAGGTTTCATAATGCTGTAAATTTCGTAAGCTCACCTCGAAGCCCTGGTTGTAGATCATAGTCCAGGTTCCCTCGTTGCCATACTCATCAGCAGCAGTGTTGGGGAAGCTGAGGGTGAAGGTCTTGGTGTGGACGATGGGGCCCAGCTCGTCACAGTTGATGGTGTTGTCGCCCGTCCGCTCCGTCTCCGAGAAGGTCCAGGTGCCCCTGATGTCCTCGTAGAGGCAGTTGGCCGGCGTGTCCGCCAGGGCCGCAGCCACACAACACAACACAACTACACCTGCTGCCTGAAAATACGTAAATTCTGAATAAAGTTAAATTTTATATAAATGCTTTGTTAATGAGCTAACTGAAGACCAAGAACACGATACTCTGCGCGGTCCTAACATGTTCAAAGCATCGATGAAACATCTGCGGCCTATGTTCACCAGTATAGTGGCAGCATGCAGGTGTAATAACCTTCCATTAATGAAACCGTTGGTCGAGTGGACACAGTACTGCGCTTCTGCCCTGGCGGCCTGGGCTAGCTCCCTTGAGGGGTCATTTGAGTTTACTGTTGAAACAACTGTAGCTTGGGGACCATTCAGTCTTTACTCACACATGCGAGTATTCGATAGATTCTCTGGATAGCAGAAGATTGACTGATTAAACTGATTGAAGGTTAGTCAATCTTCGGCTGTCCAGAGAATCTATCGAAAATGAAGCTGCATCAGTTTCGATAGATTCTACCCACTACCCACACACTAGGTGGGGTATCCTGGCTGTGCCCTGGTAGACTGGGTAACTGGGTTGACCCCAAAAGTTGTGCCACTTAAGTGCTGGAAGTCCTGGTCGACCAGGTGACTAGGTCGCTCTAAGCGAGTGTGTCATTATTTACCACCTGTGACTGTATGTGTGACGAGTCAGTATGATCTCTAAGTATGAACTGGGTGCGTATGAATGACATTTCAGTATTTATTATGTGTGAGAATATGCATCAGGTGTCAGCATTTATCACCTGTCAGTATTCACTAACAGGTGAACACTGTCACCTGTTAGAAGAGTACTGTCAATACTGACAATACATACTGCCAATACTGACAGGAGACCTATTCATCTAGCTCTCCTTCCATAAATCCGTCTATCTATTCATGCAATATCTTTCTATCCACCAGTCTACTCATATATCTATCCTTCCATCCATCTATCTATCCATTTCTCTACTTTCTCACTTATTAAAACAACAAACCGAGTAATGCGTAGGTGGAGTAAACAAGGAATTCTGTGAGTGGAGTTATCCCTCCACTCACAGAAAAAAAATGGGGTTTGAGAAACCGTTGAAATTGTGGGAGGATCGTTGGTTTTATGCGAATAAGGGAAAATTATGTAAAACAGGTAATATCTGTTATTTTTCCCAAAATCGGTGAATTGAGGTGCGTACTATTATATTTTATTATATTATATCCAACGTACAATCGAAAATTCCGGGTTCGAATTCCGGACAGAACAAAAATGGGTGAATCCCGGGCGGGACAAAAATAATTTAAAACTTATTTTCAATTATTTTCATTTTCAAATTACGTCCATTTTCGGCAATACGGCTAAATTCAGACGTAATTTGTAAGAGGACAGGTTGATGCATGTGCCCACAGAGCCAGATTTCCACTTAGGAGGGAAGGTAGTTGTTTTAGGTTTAGTTAGAGTATTTGAAGTACTCTTTCTTTTGTTATTATGGATATTTTCTGAAGGTTTAGTAGGTAGTTTACAATCCTTATTTGAACGCTGTCTTTCCACAACAGAGCGTAAACCTTGAGTAATCTCCAGAAATGTCAGGGTGTTTTTGTTATAAAGGGAGAACAACCTGTCCATTATTTCACTAGGCAGTTTGACTGGATGACAACTTTAGTCATCCAATCAGCACTGGTTATATCAACCTTAAGGCTGAGCACTTTAAGTAATGACTCAAGCTCCAATCTGAATGCTTGGAGTGAGTCAGTGTTTGAATTAGTTGAGGGTAAGTCACAATTTACGGACTAAGTGTGTAACAGCTCTCTCTCTTTGTTAGCATAATTATCCTTAAGGAGCTGAGCTGCGAGATCATAGCCGTCACTGTTTAGGGTTATATTTGTTACCATCTTTTCAGCTTCACTTTTAAGTTGATCCTGAAGGTATGTGAATTTGAGGGTTTTAGGAATTGTGGGTTTTGAATCCACAGAGTTGATTCCAGAAGTTGTCCCAACTTTCATCCTCTGATCCAGAGAATGTGGGTAAACTGATTGCAGGCAGTTTAACTTCAGGTTGAGTAGTAGTTACACTTCAGGTTTACCTTCATCAACTAATTTGATGAAAGGATCCAACTTGGCCTGAGTATCGCCCTCATATTGATCCAGATCAGCCATTATATCATATAATTCATCTGTAGTTAAGTTGGTGTTGGAAAGTTCTGACAAATACTTTTCTATCTGGCGTTTAACTTGCTCAAACTTACTAGTTCCTACTTGAAAGTAGGTTTCCAGTTGAACATGATCAACTGGAGAGTGTTGTGACATATCATGGCATTTATTGATCTGTCTTGTTAAGACAGATTAATTGACACTTAACTCATTCCACGGTTCACTTCAGTTTTGTTTCTGGATCAGCCATGCTGGCTGTTTGATTAGACTTTGTAGGGGCCCATAATATAGTTATTAATGTAGCTAAGATACTTGATCATAAATCCTGAGCAAGTACTAATGATAGTAGCCTAGGGTCAGATTATCTACCACTAGGCTATTATCCTACCTCCGTGGAGGTTGGCAAATAAAATAGTAAAATGCATAATTAATTAATTGAATCTGCACAATTAATTAATGGTTGCTAGGTTGTTCACTATTCATAACAACACTAGGGTAAGGTAATATATCCTACCCTAATGGGGGGTTAGTAGTTATATATAAGGACTAGGTTGATCAATATTTAGTTCAATACTAGTCACTAATAATATCCTACCCTAATGCTGATTGGCAACTAGCTACTAGAATATATTGTGCAGTAGAGACAAAGATGCAATATATGTTAATTGTGTTTTTAGTTTATATGTTAAATAATTCTCTACTCAGATAAATTATATATACAATTGGTGTTGGTAACCTCTATTAACCTCTGGTGTTATATAATAGTATTAATTATTTTATTAGTGACCGTTCGAAAAATTATTCACCACAAACTAGTGGATAAACTCCGTGGAAATGTAGCCAAAATTTAGTTGGATTTCATTTACGCGTTAACAGTACGCGGATATTATACAACACAAATTTAATGGTTTAAAACTCTACGAAAATGCAGCGGTAAATTTTGGTGATATTCTACTCGCCTTATTATTTTATCGCCGTATTTCAGTTCCTTATTTCACCTATATTGAAGTTTAGAACAATAATGATGCTAGATATTTATTTAATGTTAGTGGCACTGCTGTGCACTGATATACTGAGATTTAATGAGGCCAGGCTACTTGCTAATTTTAGCAGTCTACTTTGACCGGCTATGTATTTGTTTGATTATTTATTGTGCTGATTGTTAATTGATGGACCAAGAAAATAATGTAGACTTATAGGATCATTAAGGGATCCATCTGGTTCGAAGGACCATAACATATGTGGAGAAATCTATTGGTGATTGATTTGATTATAAATTCAAGAGATTGTATTTAATTGTATTTATTACTTATTTATTACTTGTGAGTGGACTGTATAATTTGTATAATTTATTATCACCAGTATACTTCCCTTCACATATTTGGGGGGGGGGGTCATAATTCAGTTATAACACTGTAATGAAACAGTTGATATAAATTTATGTACTAAACTGTAATTAAATAGTTAGTAGTACGCAACAAATGTGTTAGTTATAGGTTAAAGTGGTCTCAGCTGATTCGGTAGTGTTGGCTGGTCACCCTACATCAGATACCCTCGGACATGTGTATTAATGGCGTCCTCGTGGTTCTGGGATGTACCAGCTCAATTGATGTTTCGTGCAGTCACAGTTTACCTGCTAATAAGTTACACCATAAAAACTGATGATAACGTGTAAAGCACAGGTGTTGCACATGAAATTTAGGTAATTATTAATGAATAAACCTTACCCTTTCGGGGTAGTGTTTTCCTGCATCGTAACAATTTAATCCTAGATACATATTATTTGCCAAAAATTATGGACTATTAGAAAAAAATAACTCTGCACTTTCCTTAGTTTTGTCAACAAATAGTGACTAATGTAGTCATGCTGCTTTCTGGGACTTGCTGGAGTAATTTTCTGCATTATGGGAGGCGCGCTCTTTCACAGCTTAAGTTTCACCAACAGCAACAATAGCTTCGCTCTTCCTCCTGCCTCGGCGTCATATTCAACTCGTTTTCATTGAGATTCGGAAGGGGAAATGGGCTCGTTGTCAAATCTTTATTGACTATATAGTTAAATTAGTAGATTTCTTTTATTTTGGTTTCAGTCCAGAGATTGATGATTTTAGTGTAACATTAACTAAGTAGATTATGTGACAAAATGATGACGACGCGGGGAAATTAACCACATTTTCTGGAGTAAAGTCATCATTTTCTATCTCTTTCATGACTAACTAATGTGTTTATTATTTATTCTGGAAATACCCAAAACTAGCGGCAATTTATTACTACACGTTGCATTAACAATTTATGGGTGATGTGGGAATTTTTTCTCACAGCCACCATGTTTCTTGGTGACGGAGTGTGACCTACCAGCATGGTACTTGGTGACGGAGTGTGACCTACCAGCATGGTACTTGGTGACGGAGTGTGACCTACCAGCATGGTACTTGGTGACGGAGTGTGACCTACCAGCATGGTACTTGGTGACGGAGTGTGACCTACCAGCATGGTACTTGGTGACGGAGTGTGACCTACCAGCATGGTACTTGGTGACGGAGTGTGACCTACCAGCATGGTACTTGGTGACGGAGTGTGACCTACCAGCATGGTACTTGGTGACGGAGTGTGATCTACCAGCATGGTACTTGGTGACGGAGTGTGACCTACCAGCATGGTACTTGGTGACGGAGTGTGACCTACCAGCATGGTACTTGGTGACGGAGTGTGACCTACCAGCATGGTACTTGGTGACGGAGTGTGACCTACCAGCATGGTTCGTGGAGACGGAGTAACCTACTAGCACAGATCTCGGAGACTGATAGAGATCTAATGTAGTGATGGAGCTTCTATATATCATCTGACGGCTGCTATATTCTCATCACAAGCACACATATTGGCGCTCCCAGGCTAGGCTAAGGGATTCCCATGGGACGAAACACCAGTGGTATGTTGAACACTGAATCAAGAATAATAATAATGAACTACACTAATCCATAACTTTATTTGGTTGTATAATTAGCACAAATGAATAATCCTTTTATTAAATAAACAAATAACAGAACTCTCACAAGTTAAACGACTCTATAAAAGCCAGGGCGGGTTGAAACGCCATTGTTTCATGTGTGTGTGGTTGGGTTACTCGTTATCAGCCCATTTATTGTCACCTATATTCTGAGCCTGTATTTCGCTCAGCTTTTCTTTTTAATCATATCATTGAATCTTCCAAGAAAACATTTATTTACGTTGGAATTTATGTTAAAATAAGTTCTCTCTCTCTGTCGTGAGGAAGGCTTGGTGTACCTAGGCTACCTGTAGATATTTGAATGAGGATTTTTATATAGTGCCTCTTCTATGTTGAATCTTCTATCGCTGTCTATTGATTATGTCATTGTTGTTGGTCATGATGTCTTTGGTAATAGTTTGCTTGTGTGATGAAACTATGCGAGTGTCGATGGAGTCATGTCTTTTCTTGATTGACGCTTTGAAAGATATGTTGTCATGCAGTTAGGTTAACGTCTTTAGGGCTGACGTTCCCAATTTGGCATGTGAAGACATAGATGACATTCGTCTCCTCCAAGGCATTTTACTTGGTGTCGGGAGAGTCCTTGATAAATGAGTTGGCAATCTTCTAGGTTTTGTAGCTAATTGTGAACTGGATCTCCTGGTTTGTGTGGCTGTTGGTTATGTTTCTGACAATGATTTCTTTCACGATTCTCCTCTATTTTGTAAGCCCTTGAAAAGTTTCCTGCAGAATCTGTCTCACCTATAAAACTCTCCTAAAGGAACAGCTTCTCCTCCAAGCTGAGGTTAGTACTTGATGATGGTGTGCACTTGGTAAATACCATCAAGTCAAGAGCCTTCAATATTCGACCCTTCCACTAAATGCTCCAAGACTTCGGTACAGACGAAGAAGTGTTTCTTCCTTACACAGAGGTTCGCTGTCACGGGGAAAATGTGATTTGAAAAGTAGTCACTGAAAGATCAACTTTTTTAATTATTCAAAAGTGAAAACATATGTTGTTGCTTGAGAAAGAAGGGGACAGGAGACAGCGTCAAGCCATTACAACTGTGTAGCGCTAGCAAGTGTTCAGGATAAGGATGGGACGGGGGCAAGAAATGGTGGCCCAACCACTTGGATAGCCGGAGATTGAACACCGACCTGCATGAAACGAGACCGTCGCTCTATGGTCCATCCCAAGTGGTTGTCAGTCGCTTGAGTTTATCAAGAATTTGTCATATATCAAGTGACTCGTGAAGCTGGTATACTTGAAAAAAAAAAATTCTTGTCAAAACACTTTTAAATTATGACTTCAAAATAAGTTCACCAGTGATTTGTTTCATGAACAAACTCAATTCGTTTGACATGAAACAGGAGCTCTAGGAATGGGAGGTCAGAGACAAAAAACCTAAACATGTTTGAACACTTTAGTGGGGTACATGATGACAGACAACATACTAGAAAACTACAAATTGTGCAGCAAGTGTGGGCACCTCTCTCTCCCCTGCGAATGGAGTTACAATCTTATTTCTCGGAAAGCAAAGCTATCTGATTTTAAAATTTAACTGAAATCAATCTATTGTTAAAGTCCACTTTCTAAACTTAAGTTGATGAATGACTCTGTTGCCAAGGACATATTGGGAACATTCCCCCCCCCAAAAAAAAGTTGTGGTCTAAAATGCAACCCGTCCTCATACCAAGTCCATTCCATCCAGCGGTTGACCCTAAAGACGCATTCATCAGTTTTAAGATGCTGTTCATTCAAAACAGGATTTTTCTCAAATATGAATTATTATTGTTATATATTAGCATATTATGCATATTTAGGCATTGGTTAGGTTAGGTGATTAGGTTCTGTTGGTGATTATTTGTGTATGAAGTACGTGGGTGAAGCATTTATATCAACGCGTCCTCAACTCAAGTCCATTACATCCAGCAGCCCGTCCTCTAAACAAAGACCCAAAAATTATTCCATGCACCCGCCAAACCCGCTGTGTATGACTGATAAACGGTTTACACACGGCTCACAACTGTTGACGTTCGAACACTTTGGGAACAAGTGCTTCACTGACGAATTTTGTTCGAACCACAACGCTGTAAATGCTTTACCCACGTACTACAAATACAAATAATCGTCAACAGAACCTAAACACATAACCTAACCTATACGTATATATATAAGCACAATATGCTAATATATTATAATATTAATTGATATTTGAGAAAATTCCAGTTTAGAATGAACAACATATTAAAATTGTTGAATGCGTCTGTGGGGTTGACCGCTGGATGTAAAGGACCTGAGTCGAGGACAGGTTGGCAAATACAGTACAAATAATCGCCCAAAGAACCAAAACACCTTACTTATCCCAACTATACGAAGAAAAGTAATGTATACATTTATATATGAGAACAAACATATTGATGGAATGGACTTGAGTCGAGGACGGGTTGCATCCAGTGGTCGACCCCACAGACATATTCATAAATTTTAACTTGCTGTTCATTCAAAACAGGAATTTTCTCAAATATTAATTAATATTATTATATATTAGCATATTGTGCATATATAGGCATAGGTTAGGTTAGGTGTTTAGGTTCTGTTGCCGATTATTTGTATTTGTAGTACACGGGTGAAGCATTTATATCGTTCGAACAAAAGTCATCAGTCAGCCTGCAGCTGTACACATACAACCGTCCCATGTACACAGCTGTGTACGGCAGTCAGCCTGCAGCTGTACACATACAACCGTCCCATGTACACAGCTGTGAATGGGCAAATTGCTTAACGTCTACTCCACCAATAGTAGAACAGTTTGAGGGAATTGATACTACATTGTAATGTTTAAGATCCACATCAAGACCATTGATTTTATTCATTTATGATTTCTTGTTCAGTTCCAGCAAAGTGATATATGCAAAAGTATTACAAAGTGAATTATATGATGAGGATTTCTGTTATATGAGTTGGGCACATTGGTTTTTGCTACATAAATACAAAACGAATCTGTCTTAACATTGCTAGATGTATAAATCATTCCATTAGTCAAAAAAAATCAATTGACATAATTAATACCTTTTTAATTTTATAGCGATATTCTTTACTTTTTTTTAGACGCATATGTATGAAAATAAACGTTTTAATAGTTAAAAACAAATTTATGGAATAAAAATTGAAACGATACCACAAATATATAAAATTTCCGAGATTTAGTCTGCCATTTTGAAATTTGGCCGCCATCTTGAATTTAAATAACTTTTTTGGAAGAGTCCCTGACTGACATGACTTGTATAGTCATTTCCGCACTGTGTTATCTCCAGTGTGAGTGTGACACTCTTCTCCCAATTGAGAACCTCATCAAAACACACACATCCACCGCAGCCCACTGGGCGTGGGGGCGGTGTGCAGGACAAACAACAATTGTGACACTCACACGTCAGTTGTGACACTAACTCTCCACTCGTCAGTTATGACACTAACTCTCCACACGTCAGTTGTGACACTAACTCTCCACACGTCAGTGGTGACACTAACTCTCCACACGTCAGTTGTGACACTCTCCACACGTCAGTTGTGACACTAACTCTCCACACGTCAGTTGTGACACTCTCCACACGTCAGTTGTGACACTCTCCACACGTCAGTTGTAACACTAACTCTCCACACGTCAGTTGTGACACTAACTCTCCACACGTCAGTTGTAACACTAATTCTCCACACGTCAGTTGTGACACTAACTCTCCACACGTCAGTTGTGACACTAACTCTCCACACGTCAGTTATGACACTAACTCTCCACACGTCAGTTGTGACACTAACTCTCCACACGTCAGTTGTGACACTAACTCTCCACACGTCAGTTATGACACTCACTCTCCACCCGTCAGATGTGACACTCACTCTCCACACGTCAGATGACATTACATTATGACATTAAGTCTCCACATATGTCAGTTGGTAAATTTAGAAACTGGACTTGTGGTCGGTCTCGAGCCCGTTGTTGATGGGAAGATGTGCATTAAAGTTTATAAATAGCTCATCAAGATTGTAACTTGGTTAGGTAACTGAATTGTGGGGTTCAGTCCCTGAGCCCATTATGTGCCTCTGTAACACTTTCCACTACCGCCCACAAGATGGGTATGGGGTGCATAAAATGAATTAAACTAAAAAACAAAAAAAACAAAAAAACATGCTTCACACTCAACCTTAATAATGGTTGTATTTGTTAATACATTGTGTTGATTGCTTTATCACGAGTATCACGAGCACAAGTACAGAAATGGTTGGGTGCATTTCCTATCACCTAATGCCTCTGTTCACCTAGCAGTGAAGCAGTGAGTAGGTACTCAGGAGTTAGTCAGCTTGTTGTGGGGTTGCCTCCTTGGCGGGGTCAGTAATTCGACCTGGGGGGGGGGGGGGGTAGGGGGGGACCTCGATATAAGCCCAACGGGTATGCATGCTCTCTGGCTTCCTGTCCCGTGACACAATAAATTAAAAATTAAAGTTAAAGACCCCCTTCTGTATGCAGACAGCACACCATCGCATGTGACCTTTTCCATACCAATGTACAATCCTTGCTCATGATGAGTATTTGTTTACATTTTGGAATGTCCCACTATGCATCAGGGTGATGTTGCTGAAGGTGTTGGCATTATTGCGGCTCCTCGCATTAACAGGCGACAGTTAGCCTCACTGGGTACCACTCCACACGAAGCTTGCTCAACCGGTCTCGCTACCCGGAAATATATGAAGCTCGTAGAGCTTTTGTGATTTATTACTAAAGTTTTGTACCTTCCATCCTACCGTTTGTATTGCAACAGATCACACAAATTTGAGTGGTATATTTCAATGGCTTGTTTCTAAAATGGTTTATTTCTAAAATGGCTTGTTTCTAAAATCTAGAACAAGCCATCGCCTTGCTTTAATAGCACTGAAAGGGCTTCTTTTCCCATTCTATTTTGGACGGTTCAATGTACCAGGGAACAACGAATCTCGTGCCAAAAAAACTGTTATATTTGGTGCACTGTGATAAGCGCCCGGTGATAGACAGACAACACCTGGGAGCTGATAGCCTGGCGTCCAGGCCTCAGACACCTGCAGGCTCCCACATCCAACTGGGCGATGAGAGGGGACGTTGTGGGGGGAAAGGGGTGTGGTGTGCACGTGGTCCCTGGGAGAGGAGGAGTGTTCATGGGGGCCCCCCCTGTGGCAGGGAAGAGCACTGTGGTGCCCCTAGGGTAGGGTAAGGGTGGGTCCTGGTTATATAAGGGGAGAGGGAGAGCGCTGGCTCACCATTGTCTGGCATCATGTTGGTGAGTTTCTTCTCTGGTCTCCAGTCTGTTTACTTAATACTCTGATGTTTATTTTATCTATGTAAGAAACTATTATTACTATTATTGTTATTAGTAATGGTAATGTCTTCTCATAAGTATAATAGCATAAGATAAAACCCCCATACTTTTGTATTTGTGAAATTTATGCAAGGAATTTACACCAAGTCTTTCGCATTTTCCTGAGTGCTTAATCACGGTCTGATTGTGCGATAAGGATGAAACTTACATCTCAACGTCTAATTAACGATTGATTAGACGTTGAAATGTAAGTCTCCAGTCATCTCATCAGAGTCAAAAATTCAATATTTTCCTCAATGCTTCTCAGGGCCTTGAGTACGTGTAGTCCCTAATTTATTGTCAAGGAAATTACCAAGATCTGTGAAATCACGACGAAGTTGCAGTATCCTAGCTCAGCGATTGACACGTCTCTGACATGCATAAAAGTTTTATAGAATAATGCACCGAAAACCAATTAGGTGTTCAAAAAATGATTGGTTCTGCCTAACAGCAAAACTAGCAGCATCTAGCAAAACTCTCACATTAACAAAAAAATTCAATATTAATCTTGTTTATAAGAACAACTATAACTTTTGTGTGATATCTCCTAGCAGGCATTTAATTGTTTTTTTTATCCTTGTTTAAATATTGATTTCTTGAATTGCTTTAATTTACTTTACATTATTATTTTATTACTTCAAAGTGAACTGTATATTTTAAAGTTGTTCTGCTAGGTGTTTACCTGATCACAAGTTGGGGGGTTAAATGTACATATAGTTTATACCACAAATAGTGGATATTGATAAGCTACAAAATTAATATACATGGCCTATTTATAAAATAAATGATAATTGTAATAAACTACAGAATAATGTTATTGTTAAAATGGGTTAGTATTACAACTACTATGATTAGTTAAGTGGTCAAATTGTTCTCTGCTGTAATGTGGTGTGAAAGCTGGCTCTCTAACATCAAACTTTGGACTGTCACATGTGGACCGTCGTGGCCCTGGTAATGGGGGCTGTTGGTCTTTGTTAGAGTAAGGCTGGCGTCTGAACAATATCTTGCAGGTAGCCAGCTGTCTGGGATTTCTTCATGGATCACAATTTACCTGCCAACAAGTTACACCATAAAAACTCTCAATAACATGTAAAGTACAGGTGTGACACATTAAATTTGGGTTGCTGTTAAAATGAGGCTCACCCTTGTGGGTGTTGTCTCCTTACAGCATAACGATAAATTCCGACACTAATAATGGCCAAAATTATGTGTAATAGAAATACGAAAAGCTGATCTTCCCTTATTCTTTAGTTGTATAGACTCGGCAGTAAATAGTGACTAATTAGGTGTCACACTGCTTTCTAGGACACGGTGGGAGTAAATTAGTGTTGTGGGAGGCCCTCTGTTGTCGGACTCCCAACAACGACAAGTTCCAGACAAGTTCACGACACCACTCAATATGTCTGCCTCTGTTTACATTCTAACTTGGCAGTCTTGGCTGACTCCCCCCGGAGAGCGTCTCTCGTGGATTGGTTCAATTTGTGTCAATTATTTGACAACAGGAGGGAGCCCATAAGTTTATGTTATATATCATTAAGTGAAAGCATAGAAAATACTTTTTTAATAATTCTGATTTTTATTCTTCAGTTCCAATTTCTACTCACCTGTTTGTCTTTTCTTCATACCGCTCTCACTATTCTCGGATTACTTTGTTCTACTATCTCTCCTACACGTTGTTGAAAAGACTTTATTACCTCCCTCTGGTCTCTGGGTCTCTGTCACCCTTAGGTCTCTGGTGATGTCAATGAGCCTGGAACCCAATTCTTTGAGAAATCCCAAGGATCTCCTACCCAGTGGCCATGCGTCTCAGATGCTATGGGAATAAAGATGTATTGACCATCCAGTCGCCTGTACATGATTGATTTTGCTGTTTCCCTGTGGTTGGCCGCCCCACCTGCTTGATCAGCACCGAAGTGTATATAAGTGTCAGCCAGGGTGGATTCACATGTGTAGTCCCACACCAGCTGTCTGCCCCTTTCCATGGGTATATTGTGATGCCATCTAGGTGAAGTGCGGGGTCATCCGGATTTTGGTCCTCTAGGAGGCGAGGTTTTCTCTCTTCTGGGCACTGAGCTGAGGCCAGGTTCCTCTTGATGATGTCATTAACCTCGTTGCATCTTGCATACCAGCCCTTTGTGCTTCCGCAGTGCAACCCATGCAGTTCATTTTGGTCTGCTTCCATCCTGTTGCAAATACACTTGTATTCAGTGTGAATTGGGGCACCAAGGCGGAGGGCCACTGCTACACGAAGTGAATATGGATCTAGGTGCATGCCCGATGCCGACGTGGGTACTGCCTGGAGGAAGTCTCCTGCATGGGGGGGAGGGGGGCACGCACTGTTCTGAGGTGGGCTTTCTCCTTGTCTGATGTTGCAGCGCTGAGCATGGCAGCAAATGATTTTTTACTAGTGGGTGGTCCCAACTTGATTGTTTGTGTTTTTTGTTATATATATATATATATATATATATATATATATATATATATATATATATATATATAATATATATATATATATATATATATATATATATATATATATATATATAAATATATATATATATATATATATATATATATATAACTGAAAACTCACACCCCAGAAGTGACTCGAACCCATACTCCCAGATGTCACGCAACTGGTATGTACAAGACGCCTTAATCCACTTGACCATCACGACCGGACATAATGAGGTGATAGCCGAGGCTATTTGAACCACCCCACCGCCGGCACTCGGATAGTAATCTTGGGCATAGCATTTTACCAAATCACCTCATTCTTTGGGGCACACGTGAGGAACACAAATGCGAACAAGCCTGAATGGTCCCCAGGACAATATGCAACTGAAAACTCACACCCCAGAAGTGACTCGAACCTATACTCCCAGATGCCACGCAACTGGTATGTACAAGACGCCTTAATCCACTTGACCATCACGACCGGACATAATGAGGTGATAGCCGAGGCTATTTGAACCACCCCACCGCCGGCACTCGGATAGTAATCTTGGGCATAGCATTTTACCAAATCACCTCATTCTTTGGAGCACACGTGAGGAACACAAATGCGAACAAGCCTGAATGGTCCCCAGGACAATATGCAACTGAAAACTCACACCCCAGAAGTGACTCGAACCCATACTCCCAGATGCCACGCAACTGGTATGTACAAGACGCCTTAATCCACTTGACCATCACGACCGGACATAATGAGGTGATAGCCGAGGCTATGGGTTCGAGTCACTTCTGGGGTGTGAGTTTTCAGTTGCATATTGTCCTGGGGACCATTCAGGCTTGTTCGCATTTGTGTTCCTCACGTGTGCCCCAAAGAATGAGGTGATTTGGTAAAATGCTATGCCCAAGATTACTATCCGAGTGCCGGCGGTGGGGTGGTTCAAATAGCCTCGGCTATCACCTCATTATGTCCGGTCGTGATGGTCAAGTGGATTAAGGCGTCTTGTACATACCAGTTGCGTGGCATCTGGGAGTATGGGTTCGAGTCACTTCTGGGGTGTGAGTTTTCAGTTGCATATTGTCCTGGGGACCATTCAGGCTTGTTCGCATTTGTGTTCCTCACGTGTGCCCCAAAGAATGAGGTGATTTGGTAAAATGCTATGCCCAAGATTACTATCCGAGTGCCGGCGGTGGGGTGGTTCAAATAGCCTCGGCTATCACCTCATTATGTCCGGTCGTGATGGTCAAGTGGATTAAGGCGTCTTGTACATACCAGTTGCGTGGCATCTGGGAGTATGGGTTCGAGTCACTTCTGGGGTGTGAGTTTTCAGTTGCATATTGTCCTGGGGACCATTCAGGCTTGTTCGCATTTGTGTTCCTCACGTGTGCCCCAAAGAATGAGGTGATTTGGTAAAATGCTATGCCCAAGATTACTATCCGAGTGCCGGCGGTGGGGTGGTTCAAATAGCCTCGGCTATCACCTCATTATGTCCGGTCGTGATGGTCAAGTGGATTAAGGCGTCTTGTACATACCAGTTGCGTGGCATCTGGGAGTATGGGTTCGAGTCACTTCTGGGGTGTGAGTTTTCAGTTGCATATTGTCCTGGGGACCATTCAGGCTTGTTCGCATTTGTGTTCCTCACGTGTGCCCCAAAGAATGAGGTGATTTGGTAAAATGCTATGCCCAAGATTACTATCCGAGTGCCGGCGGTGGGGTGGTTCAAATAGCCTCGGCTATCACCTCATTATGTCCGGTCGTGATGGTCAAGTGGATTAAGGCGTCTTGTACATACCAGTTGCGTGGCATCTGGGAGTATGGGTTCGAGTCACTTCTGGGGTGTGAGTTTTCAGTTGCATATTGTCCTGGGGACCATTCAGGCTTGTTCGCATATATATATATATATATATATATATATATATATATATATATATATATATGTATAAAATTTTGTTTTCATAAGACTGGAGTCGTGTTGCTGTGTTGTGTGGCTGCGGCCCTGGCGGACACGCCGGCCAACTGCCTCTACGAGGACATCAAGGGCACCTGGACCTTCTCGGAGACGGAGCGGACGGGCGACAACACCATCAACTGTGACGAGCTGGGCCCCATCGTCCACACCAAGACCTTCACCCTCAGCTTCCCCAACACTGCTGCTGATGAGTATGGCAACGAGGGAACCTGGACTATGATCTACAACCAGGGCTTCGAGGTGGGCACTTCTCCCATTTGTTAAGCACAATTAACTATATGATTTACATAAAAAAAAATATTATATAAGAGAATTTTGAGTCTTTAAGGCTAAAAAATACCTTCACTTTATTTCAGGTGAATATCAACGAACGTTCGTACTTCGCGTTCTCCTACTACGAGGGAGACTTTACGTCATCTACGTCTTATTGTGACCGAACATTCAATGGCTGGTCACGAGATAAGACCATCAGGAACTGGTCCTGCTTCAGTGCCCAGAAAAACACAGAGGTATACTATCCATTATACTAAATATTTTTCGTTGCTAATTCATGTTAAAAATCAACTCACAGATATGAAATGAAAGGAAAGTTACAATGTATCGGTCACGCCTAGACTCATCAAATCAGACCGATAAATAAACGAAAAGGAAGCTAATAAACGATTGAGAGTAAGTAAAATAATAATGTATGGAAATCAAGAAGAAAGGAAAATCTAAATATAGTAAGTAGAGATCCGAAAACAATTACTAAAAAGAGGAAACTGGAAAAAAATGAGAAAATGAAAGTAAAGGAAACAAGAGGAAGAGATAGAGGAGATAAGAAAGCAGAGAGAGAGGCAAATGGCTAAGCCAGATAAGGTTTTGCATAGCAAGTTGAAGAATATAACTTTCCTTTCATTACATAGGTTTGAGTTATTTGTTGTTAGCCATCGTATTGTGACTTATTCTCTGCATGTCCCGGGTATGTTGGTAATGTTAGTAATCGTTAAACATTTATATATGTTTATTTGTTAGATATCATGTAGCATATATGTACTCATATGTTAAGTATCACATTATATGATTATATAATCATATAATATATCATGTAATATTTCATATTATGTGATTATCAAGTAACATGTATGTAGTTAATTTTTTTATCACGTTGCAGGCATGTATATGTTACTTATAATGCGATATACATGAGTTCACATGTTAATTATCACGTAGCAGATGTGCTAACATTTTAAATATTATGTAGCATATAAGTGTTTATATGTTATTATTCATTGCTTAGGGCTCGCACAGGAATATCCCCTGAAAAAAATCTAACATATATTTGCATAAATGTTGAATATATGTTACATATAACATATATGTATAGGTCACAAGTTACGATCGTCACTCAAATATGCTAAATCTTTCACAAATACAGATATAACAATAGAGCATTATGTTTTTCTAGATGTAGATAAATGACTTTTGCAATTATTGAGTTAAACAATTTTTTGACAATAGACATCAATTGGCCAAACGTTTGACACAGGTTATCTATTCTTCTTCCTAAATACTGGCAAAACAGTTGCCTGTTTTCATGATTTAGGTACCAAGATCGACATTAATGATTTATAAAATATGTAGGTTATAGGTTCATTTAACTAGTTCTTGCATTCTAATAGGGCATTTGGGACTAGTTCGGCTTTAATTTTTTTATGAGTTTAATAATTTTCTTTCTGGTAACAATTAAGAAATTCATCTTGTGTGTTTCATTACAGAAGTAGATTTGTTCAGACATTGGTATAATGCATAGTAAGTGCAGAAACAAAGGACTTGAGTAGACTGTCTCTAATTTTTTGGGTCATTGTCAGTTATATGATCTAAATAACTGTTCTAAGACCAGGCATTATCCAATTTTTCGTTTGGCATATCTGAAAGAACTTTCAGGATCGTCATAGACAATCACGAAGTCTATAATCTAGCACTAGAACTTCACATATATAATGGGGGACTATAAACAAGAACACTAGAGCGGACGAAGTCATTGTACAACTTCACCCACTTCATTCCGACATATTTGACAGGTATCATGACAATAATGTAATGTTAGAGACTATGGCCCAGTTCCTGATCACAGAGACAACACGAACGCTGGTATCATTGACTGGGGCCCTCCAGTCAATGATACTGTAGTCTTCTTGTGAGTGCTAGGGAGGACTAGCTAGGGAGGACTAGCAAGTGCTATGAAGGACTAGTGCGTGCTAGGGAAGACTACGAAGTGCTATGGAGTCATAGGGAGGTTAGTAGTTAATTCTTGGAGGAACACTGACGATTAGACATGATATTAATCAAGCATATTGTAGCTGGTACTTTATAATGATCACAAATGTAAATATTTATGTTCAGTGGTGAACAATGTTCTCAGTGACCAGCTTAGTTACGGTTTATAATTTTTTTTACCAGGTACAAAATAACAAAATAAGTATAAAATTTAATACAGTAAATATGCAATTGAACAGAACAACACTTATGAATGAACACAAACCAGGCAATGTTTTTTGTGACTTATCTAATTATATAATTAATTTCTAACGCTGTATTCACTCGTGGGCGACCATACATTTTTAGATTAGCTAATTACTTCTCAATGAGCACTCCTGTGTTTCACCTCCACGACGCCTCAGCTTTGTAAAGCTGCTCGACTCTCAAATAATCCCATCATATGCACGTCTGAGAAATAATCAATGAACTAAACGTATTTAATACAACAAATGCCCTTCTGTAGGTTGTACCGCGGGAGACCAGGAAGCTGACGGTCCCGGCGGCGCAGCTGCGTCAGCCGTACAGGAACGACCATGAGATGATACGCAAGATTAACTCCGCCCAAAGCTCCTGGAGGGCCAAGGCTTACCCTCAACACGAGCAGTCAGTAGTTGATTTTTTTTTGTAATTGGATGGGTCTCCCTATTTATCTTTTTGTTATCCTCTCACTTGACTTTGATTTGAAAACAGCGTTAGAATGGAATATAAATTTTGTTTTCTGGAAGCAGATAACACTTTACGGTGAAAATACTTTGTTGAATGAAAGTCATCTTAGTTTTGAGAGCTAATTTGTGAGTACTTCAAGTGACTGACTATATTGTGATAAGTTACAAAAATACTTTAAAGTTCCTGATGACTCAGGCCATAACACCAGATAAGGGCTAAATAATTTCCCGTAATCCTTCTTTTCCTTATTTCATAAATATATTTATTGTAATTATATTGATTCCTTATACATTCATAAACCGTTACCAGATTGACATTTTTGGGCCAAAACAGTACTACAAAATAATTTGAGAATGCACATAACTACGAACTGTAGTGATGAGCAAACGATTTATAAATCGAAATGTATTCTAAACACGGACGAAAATATTTTGATATTAGATTTACTTATTTTCTACCTTTATTTCTATTTTTTGTTAGACAACATATTGTGTGGTTGTTAGACAACATATTGTGTGGTTGTTAGACAACATATTGTGTGGTTGTTAGACAACATATAGTGTGGCTGTTAGACAATATAGAGTGTGGCTGTTAGACAATATATAGTGTGGCTGTTAGACAATATATAGTGTGGCTGTTAGACAATATAGAGTGTGGCTGTTAGACAATATATAGTGTGGCTGTTAGACAATATAGAGTGTGGCTGTTAGACAATATATAGTGTGGCTGTTAGACAATATATAGTGTGGCTGTTAGACAATATAGAGTGTGGTTGTTAGACAATATATAGTGTGGCTGTTAGACAATATAGAGTGTGGCTGTTAGACAATATATAGTGTGACTGTTAGACAATATATAGTGTGGCTGTTAGACAATATATAGTGTGGCTGTTAGACAATATATAGTGTGGCTGTTAGACAATATAGAGTGTGGCTGTTAGATAATATATAGTGTGACTGTTAGACAATATATAGTGTGGCTGTTAGACAACATATAGTGTGGCTGTTAGACAATATATAGTGTGGCTGTTAGACAATATATAGTGTGGCTGTTAGACAATATATAGTGTGGCTGTTAGACAATATATAGTGTGGCTGTTAGACAACATATAGTGTGGCTGTTAGACAATATATAGTGTGACTGTTAGACAATATATAGTGTGGCTGTTAGACAATATATAGTGTGGCTGTTAGACAATATATAGTGTGGCTGTTAGACAATATATAGTGTGGCTGTTAGACAACATATAGTGTGGCTGTTAGACAATATATAGTGTGGCTGTTAGACAATATATAGTGTGACTGTTAGACAATATATAGTGTGGCTGTTAGACAATATATAGTGTGGCTGTTAGACAACATATAGTGTGGCTGTTAGACAATATATAGTGTGGCTGTTAGACAATATATAGTGTGGCTGTTAGACAACATATAGTGTGGCTGTTAGACAACATATAGTGTGGCTGTTAGACAACATATAGTGTGGCTGTTAGACAATATATAGTGTGGCTGTTAGACAACATATAGTGTGGCTGTTAGACAACATATAGTGTGGCTGTTAGACAACATATAGTGTGGCTGTTAGACAACATATAGTGTGGCTGTTAGACAACATATAGTGTGGCTGTTAGACAATATATAGTGTGGCTGTTAGACAATATATAGTGTGGCTGTTAGACAACATATAGTGTGGCTGTTAGACAACATATAGTGTGGCTGTTAGACAACATATAGTGTGGCTGTTAGACAACATATAGTGTGGCTGTTAGACAACATATAGTGTGGTTGTTAGACAATATATAGTGTGGCTGTTAGACAATATATAGTGTGGCTGTTAGACAATATATAGTGTGGCTGTTAGACAACATATAGTGTGGCTGTTAGACAACATATAGTGTGGCTGTTAGACAACATATAGTGTGGCTGTTAGACAACATATAGTGTGGCTGTTAGACAACATATAGTGTGGTTGTTAGACAATATATAGTGTGGCTGTTAGACAATATATAGTGTGGCTGTTAGACAATATATAGTGTGGCTGTTAGACAATATATAGTGTGGCTGTTAGACAACATATAGTGTGGCTGTTAGACAATATATAGTGTGGCTGTTAGACAACATATAGTGTGGCTGTTAGACAACATATAGTGTGGCTGTTAGACAATATATAGTGTGGCTGTTAGACAATATATAGTGTGGTTGTTAGACAATATATAGTGTGGTTGTTAGACAACATATTGTGTGGTTGTTAGACAATATATAGTGTGGCTGTTAGACAACATATAGTGTGGCTGTTAGACAATATATAGTGTGGCTGTTAGACAATATATAGTGTGGCTGTTAGACAACATATAGTGTGGCTGTTAGACAACATATAGTGTGGCTGTTAGACATTATATAGTGTGGCTGTTAGACAACATATAGTGTGGCTGTTAGACAACATATAGTGTGGCTGTTAGACAATATATAGTGTGGCTGTTAGACAACATATAGTGTGGCTGTTAGACAACATATAGTGTGGCTGTTAGACAATATATAGTGTGGCTGTTAGACAACATATAGTGTGACTGTTAGACAACATATAGTGTGGCTGTTAGACAATATATAGTGTGGCTGTTAGACAATATATAGTGTGGCTGTTAGACAATATATAGTGTGGCTGTTAGAACACATATAGTGTGACTGTTAGACAACATATAGTGTGGCTGTTAGACAACATATAGTGTGGCTGTTAGACAATATATAGTGTGGCTGTTAGAACACATATAGTGTGGCTGTTAGACAATATATAGTGTGGCTGTTAGACAATATATAGTGTGGCTGTTAGACAATATATAGTGTGGCTGTTAGACAATATATAGTGTGGCTGTTAGACAATATAGAGTGTGGCTGTTAGACAATATAGAGTGTGGCTGTTAGAACACATATAGTGTGGCTGTTAGACAATATATAGTGTGGCTGTTAGACAATATATAGTGTGGCTGTTAGACAATATATAGTGTGGCTGTTAGACAATATATAGTGTGGCTGTTAGACAATATATAGTGTGGCTGTTAGACAATATATAGTGTGGCTGTTAGACAATATAGAGTGTGGCTGTTAGACAATATAGAGTGTGGCTGTTAGAACACATATAGTGTGGCTGTTAGACAATATATAGTGTGGTTGTTAGACAATATAGAGTGTGGCTGTTAGAACACATATAGTGTGGCTGTTAGACAATATATAGTGTGGCTGTTAGACAATATAGAGTGTGGCTGTTAGAACACATATAGTGTGGCTGTTAGACAATATATAGTGTGGCTGTTAGACAATATAGAGTGTGGCTGTTAGAACACATATAGTGTGGCTGTTAGACAATATATAGTGTGGCTGTTAGACAATATAGAGTGTGGCTGTTAGAACACATATAGTGTGGCTGTTAGACAATATATAGTGTGGCTGTTAGACAATATAGAGTGTGGCTGTTAGAACACATATAGTGTGGCTGTTAGACAATATATAGTGTGGCTGTTAGACAATATAGAGTGTGGCTGTTAGAACACATATAGTGTGGCTGTTAGACAATATATAGTGTGGCTGTTAGAACACATATAGTGTGGCTGTTAGAACACATATAGTGTGGCTGTTAGACAATATATAGTGTGGCTGTTAGAACACATATAGTGTGGCTGTTAGAACACATATAGTGTGGTTGTTAGACAATATATAGTGTGGCTGTTAGACAATATAGAGTGTGGCTGTTAGAACACATATAGTGTGGCTGTTAGACAATATATAGTGTGGCTGTTAGAACACATATAGTGTGGCTGTTAGAACACATATAGTGTGGCTGTTAGACAATATATAGTGTGGCTGTTAGACAATATAGAGTGTGGCTGTTAGAACACATATAGTGTGGCTGTTAGACAACATATAGTGTGGCTGTTAGACAATATAGAGTGTGGCTGTTAGAACACATATAGTGTGGCTGTTAGACAATATATAGTGTGGCTGTTAGACAATATAGAGTGTGGCTGTTAGAACACATATAGTGTGGCTGTTAGACAATATATAGTGTGGCTGTTAGACAACATATAGTGTGACTGTTAGACAACATATAGTGTGACTGTTAGACAACATATAGTGTGACTGTTAGACAATATATAGTGTGACTGTTAGACAACATATAGTGTGACTGTTAGACAACATATAGTGTGACTGTTAGACAACATATAGTGTGGCTGTTAGACAACATATAGTGTGGCTGTTAGACAACATATAGTGTGACTGTTAGACAACATATAGTGTGACTGTTAGACAACATATAGTGTGGCTGTTAGACAACATATAGTGGGGCTGTTAGACAATATATAGTGTGGCTGTTAGACAACATATAGTGTGGCTGTTAGACAACATATAGTGGGGCTGTTAGACAACATATAGTGGGGCTGTTAGACAATATATAGTGTGGCTGTTAGACAACATATAGTGGGGCTGTTAGACAATATATAGTGTGGATGTTAGACAATATATAGTGTGACTGTTAGACAATATATAGTGTGGCTGTTAGACAATATATAGTGTGGCTGTTAGACAATATATAGTGTGGCTGTTAGATAATATATAGTGTGGCTGTTAGACAATATATAGTGTGGCTGTTAGACAACATATAGTGTGACTGTTAGACAATATATAGTGTGGCTGTTAGACAATATATAGTGTGGCTGTTAGACAATATATAGTGTGGCTGTTAGACAATATATAGTGTGGCTGTTAGATAATATATAGTTTGGCTGTTAGACAATATATAGTGTGACTGTTAGACAATATATAGTGTGGCTGTTAGACAATATATAATGTGGCTGTTAGATAATATATAGTGTGGCTGTTAGACAACATATAGTGTGGCTGTTAGACAACATATAGTGGGGCTGTTAGACAATATATAGTGTGGCTGTTAGACAACATATAGTGTGGCTGTTAGACAATATATAGTGTGGCTGTTAGATAATATATAGTGTGGCTGTTAGACAACATATAGTGTGGCTGTTAGACAACATATAGTGTGGCTGTTAGACAACATATAGTGTGACTGTTAGACAACATATAGTGTGGCTGTTAGACAATATATAGTGTGGCTGTTAGACAATATATAGTGTGGCTGTTAGACAACATATAGTGTGGCTGTTAGACAACATATTGTGTGGCTGTTAGACAACATATAGTGTGGCTGTTAGACAACATATAGTGTGCTGTTAGACAATATATTGTGTGGCTGTTAGACAACATATAGTGTGGCTGTTAGACAACATATAGTGTGACTGTTAGACAACATATAATGGGGCTGTTAGACAACATATAGTGTGGCTGTTAGACAACATATAGTGTGACTGTTAGACAACATATAGTGTGACTGTTAGACAACATATAGTGTGGCTGTTAGACAACATATAGTGTGGCTGTTAGACAACATATAGTGGGGCTGTTAGACAACATATAGTGTGACTGTTAGACAACATATAGTGTGGCTGTTAGGCAACATATAGTGTGGCTGTTAGACAACATATAGTGGGGCTGTTAGACAACATATAGTGTGACTGTTAGACAACATATAGTGTGGCTGTTAGACAACATATAGTGGGGCTGTTAGACAACATATAGTGTGCTGTTAGACAATATATTGTGTGGCTGTTAGACAACATATAGTGTGGCTGTTAGACAACATATAGTGTGGCTGTTAGACAACATATTGTGTGGCTGTTAGACAACATATAGTGGGGCTGTTAGACAACATATAGTGTGACTGTTAGACAACATATAGTGTGGCTGTTAGACAACATATAGTGTGGCTGTTAGACAACATATTGTGTGGCTGTTAGACAACATATAGTGGGGCTGTTAGACAATATATAATGTGGCTGTTAGACAACATATAGTGTGGCTGTTAGACAACATATAGTGTGGCTGTTAGACAACATATTGTGTGGCTGTTAGACAACATATAGTGGGGCTGTTAGACAACATATAGTGTGGCTGTTAGACAACATATAGTGTGGCTGTTAGACAACATATAGTGTGGCTGTTAGACAACATATAGTGGGGCTGTTAGACAATATATAGTGTGGCTGTTAGACAACATATAGTGTGGCTGTTAGACAACATATAGTGTGGCTGTTAGACAACATATAGTGGGGCTGTTAGACAATATATAGTGTGGCTGTTAGACAACATATACTGGGGCTGTTAGACAACATATAGTGTGGCTGTTAGACAACATATAGTGTGGCTGTTAGACAACATATAGTGTGGCTGTTAGACAACATATAGTGGGGCTGTTAGACAATATATAGTGTGGCTGTTAGACAATATATATGTTTAGACAACATATTGTGTGGCTGAACTCTTGTGGCTGTTAGACAATATATAGTGTGGCTGTTAGACAATATATAGTGTGGCTGTTAGACAATATATAGTGTGGCTGTTAGACAATATATAGTGTGGCTGTTAGACAATATATAGTGTGGCTGAACTGGAAAAATCACTGAATATTGACTATTGATAAAAATCCTACACTATCGACTATTGAACAAATAAATCCCAGACTATTGACTATTGTACAGATCACAGACTATTGACTATTGTACAGATCTGAGACTATTGACTATTGTACAGATCACAGACTATTGACTATTGAACAGATCACAGACTATTGACTATTGAACAGATCTCAGACTATTGACTATTGAACAGATCTCTGACTATTGACTATTGAACAAATCCCAGACTATTGACTATTGAACAGATCTCTGAATATTGACTATTGAACAGATCTCTGGATATTGACTATTGAACAGATTGAACAAATTTCTGACTATTGACTATTGAACAACTCACAGACTATTGAACAATTCCCAGACTATTATCTGGTTAGACTAACGTCAACACCGCCACCAGATACACCCAGCTGGAGATGCTGCGGCGCCAGGGAGGTCCTGGGTCAGTGCTGACGGCCCGGCCCTCGCCCGCCCCAGCCACCCCCCAACAGAAGGCTCGTGCAGCCCTCCTCCCGGAGAACTTCGACTGGCGTGATGTGGACGGCGAGAGCTACGTCACAGCGGTCAGGGACCAGGGGAACTGCGGCTCCTGCTACACTTTCGGGTCGATGGGTCAGCTGGAGTCTCGTGTCAGACTCGCGACGAACAACCAGCGTCAAGATATCTTCTCTACACAGGTGTGAATTAAAGGTTTAATTATCGTCACTTTTTAAAAAAGATAAGAGAATTTTAAATCCCATGACAGTGTCCTGCATATCAGGATGCTTTTACTAGATCAGGAACAATAATTGAAGATCCTTCTGTGTCATTTCTCCAATTTCACAGGCAGTTTTCTCAAGGTAGAGCACCTTATTAATATATTATTTGCATGTATAAGCTAAATAGTCAAACCATTATGGGTAACACAGAAAAATGGTTATACTGGAGTTGTTATACTATTTTCAACTGTTATTTACAATGTGTTTGACTACCTATCACAACAATTCCTTTTTAATTAAGCTAAAGTAGCTTCAGACCTTCGATAATAAATACCCGAGAATGAGGGCAACAAAGAGTAACTTTCTGTGACCTCCTTGACCTTTTCAACACTATTTCGTACACGAAATTCGCTTTATCTAAAAAATGTAAAAATCCCAATAATTCTGAAATTGTGTAGAGTCATCTGATTAACCAGAAGTAAATAGTTGAACTGCGTAATATGTAGCTGTCACCTTCAACTAACTACTCTCTGAGAACAGCTGAGAGGTGAAACAGTAATGTTATCAACAACACTCAATAAAAATGAGCGTTTGGTTGCAAAACAAGACTTTGTTGTATCAAGCACGTTGTGGGTGAGACAAGATACGAGGTGGTGAGGCAGGAGAATGTGTATCACTAGTGAAATGGTGGTGTTGTCGCCCTCAGGACGCGGTGTCGTGCACAGTACTGGACCAGGGGTGTGATGGAGGCTTCAACTACCTCATCGCTGGCCGCTACGCCCAGGACCAAGGAGTGGTCGCCGACACCTGCAACCCTTACACCGCTAAGGTAGTCTCTCCTTATGAGCAACACACGTCGCAGTTATCTCTAACGTCTCTTAAGGTCTCACCGTCAGATCATACATAATAATTACTCATTATTCGCAAATTAACACCAGAAAATGCTTATGACTTTTGTACAATTTAAAAGCAAACTGAGAGCAGAAATATTGGGCTTTATCATGTAGTTTACCGTACTGCCTCGCCCCTTCAGCACACAGTTGCCATCACAAAACTCTTGCATTTCACATAATCACATTTCTTTTAATATCGAACATTACCTGAATTGCCTCCGCTCGCTGCCAGGATGACCCCTGCGTGACTGACGCCAGCTGCTCCCGCACCTACGTCAGCTGGTACGAGTACCTGGGCGGGTACTATGGAGCCTGCAACGAGGAGCTGATGCTGGTGGCCCTGGTGGAGAACGGCCCGCTGTCCGTCTCCTACATGGTCTTCGACGACTTCTCCAGCTACAGTGGCGGCATCTACCACCATACGGGCCTGAAGAACGAGTTCAATCCTTTTGAAGTAAGACTTGACACACTCCTTAAATTATTTGTCCAACCACTTGGGCTGGACGGTAGAGCGACGGTCTCGCTTAATGCAGGTCGGCGTTCAATCCCCGACCATCAAAGTGGTTGGGCACCATTCCTTCTCCAGGTCTCATCCCAAATCCTTATCCTGACCCCTTCCCAGGGCTATATATTAGTAATGGCTTGGCGTTTTTCCCTGATAATTCATTCAATTCCTTAAATTATTAACAAACATTTTGTAATCAACGTACAGCCCATCCTCCTGTTTTGGTAGTACTTACAGTAATGATAAGGACCATAGTACATATACTGACGTACAACGCAATTAGAAAGTAGAAATCTGTACTATGGAATTTAGACAAACTGGAATTTTTTTTATATTTTTGTTACAAAGACAAACTAACCGAACCTAACCTTCCTAGGCCTAATACACGATATATAAGGCCTAATATAGTACATATGGCTACTATTCTAGGCCTAGGAATATTTATGTTGTTTTTTGGCTTAATTTTTTTGAGGTTCTATAAAGTGAATAGCACCAAATTCTACTATCTAATTGTTTGGTACGTCAATCTTTGTACTATGCTGGACATAGTTACAAAACTACTATCTAGAGAGAAGGACAAGTTGCGAGGTACTGCCCAGGAAACTGTCTTTTGCTGACTCAAGGAATTAACTCCACGAAGTGAACTTTTGCTGTCTCGTTTAACAGGTCTTAAGACCTGTGTTGAACACCTTCTTAAGACTTGTGTTGAACATCTCCTTAAGACCTGTGATGAACACCTCCTTAAGAATTGTGTTGAACACCGCCTTAAGACCTGTGTTGAACACCTCTTTAAGATTTGTGCTGAACACCTCCTTAAGAATTGTGTTGAACACCTCCTTAAGACTTATGTTGAACACCTCCTTAAGACCTGTGTTGAACACCTCTTTAAGATTTGTGCTGAACACCTCCTTAAGACCTGTGTTGATCACCTCCTTAAGACCTGTGTTGAACACCTCCTTAAGAATTGTGTTGAACACCTCCTTAAGACTTGTGTTGAACACCTCCTTAAGACCTGTGTTGAACACCTTCTTAAGACCTGTGTTGAACACCTCCTTAAGACCTGTGTTGATCACCTCCTTAAGACCTATGTTGAATACCTCCATAAGACCTGTGATGAACACCTCCTTAAGACTTTAAGGAGCACAGTTTTAGCCCAATTATACAATACTTCCTTCCCCCAGTATGAAGTATATTTTTCTCCAGACGCATTCATGTCATCACAGCTTCCGTCAGGTTTGAATTTACTTAAATTTTAAGTTTGTCATGATCGTCTTGAGACCTTAACTAACTGAATACATGTCTCCTTGAGGCTGGGTCATGGGCCTCATTTCTCCTGTCTCCTTGTTATCTTTTAGTGGTCACACAAGATCACTGGGAACTAAATTCAGCAGAATCCATTTCCCTTTCAATGTTACAGAATGATACAAATAAAATCCATTCTGTTGGGAACCTCTTATAAAAGTAATTGTTTCGAACGTCAACGTAAGAAATGTTTTAGTACAGATGCTCAGCCAGGAGCAGATAACTTAAGATTACATTCTTAACTTGATATCCCAGGAGGTGAACCACGCCGTCCTGCTGGTGGGCTACGGGGTGGAGGAGACCACGGGGGAGAAGTTCTGGACGGTGAAGAACTCGTGGGGCTCTGACTGGGGCGAGGACGGCTTCTTCAGGATCAGGCGAGGCACTGACGAGTGTGCCATTGAGTCCATGGCTGTCGATATCACCGTCATTCCCTAAACTACCTACCACCACCGACGGGTCAAGAGCACGCTACACGCTACGGAGAGAGTTTTGGTGTAATTGTGAGATTGAACTCCTCCTTCGTTAGTTAGAGGATGAAGTCTGTATATTTTCATGCCATCATGTTATTCCATGATATTTATTATTTATAACAATAAACTCGAGATTCAATGGCATTAATTTCAATATTTTGGTTCCAGTATATATTACCTTCCATATAAGGCGATTCACACTACATTAGTTCCCCACTATATATACATACGTATATATATATAAATATGTATATATATAACTGAAAACTTACACCCCAGAAGTGATTCGAACCCATACTGCCAGGAGCAACGCAACTGGTATGTACAGGGACGCCTTAATCCGCTTGACCATCACGACCGGACATAAGGAAGTGATAGCCTAAGCTATTTGAACCACTTCCCCGCCGGCACTCGGATAGTAATCTTGGGCATAGCATTTTATCAAATCACCTCATTCTTTGGGGCAACACGTGAGGAACACATAATATAGAACACAAAAAATTGTATATAGTCCTGGGGACCATTCAGGCTTGTTTGCATTTGTGTTCCTCACGTGTTGCCCCAAAGAATGAGGTGATTTGATAAAATGCTATGCCCAAGATTACTATCCGAGTGCCGGCGGGGAAGTGGTTCAAATAGCTTAGGCTATCACTTCCTTATGTCCGGTCGTGATGGTCAAGCGGATTAAGGCGTCCCTGTACATACCAGTTGCGTTGCTCCTGGCAGTATGGGTTCGAATCACTTCTGGGGTGTGAGTTTTCAGTTGTATATAGTCCTGGGGACCATTCAGGCTTGTTTGCATTTGTATTCCTCACGTGTTGCCCCAAAGAATGAGGTGATTTGATAAAATGCTATGCCCAAGATTACTATCCGAGTGCCGGCGGGGAAGTGGTTCAAATAGCTTAGGCTATCACTTCCTTATGTCCGGTCGTGATGGTCAAGCGGATTAAGGCGTCCCTGTACATACCAGTTGCGTTGCTCCTGGCAGTATGGGTTCGAGTCACTTCTGGGGTGTGAGTTTTCAGTTGTATATAGTCCTGGGGACCATTCAGGCTTGTTTGCATGTATATATATATATACATATTTATGTATATATATATATATATATATATATATATATATATATATATATATATAAAAGTAATTGTTTCGAACGTCAACGTAAGAAATGTTTTAGTACAGATGCTCAGCCAGGAGCAGATAACTTAAGATTACATTCTTAACTTGATATCCCAGGAGGTGAACCACGATATATTCAACAATATATATATATATATATATATATATATATATATATATATATATATATATATATATATATATATATATATATATATATATATATATATATATATATATATATATATATATATATATATATATATATATATATATATATATATATATATATATATATATATATATATATATATATATATATATATAACCAAAAACCGTGGGTGCCAAAAACACCCACCGCAGGAAAGGTATCAACAGCAGACCCGAAGCATCCAAAATCAGAGCAACAGTCTGCAAGAAAATAGAAGAAGGCAACACAATAGGGGCGATCAGAGTCATCACCAGTGAAGACACAGTTGCCATCAGGGATGCCGGTACAGCACAAGCCCTGAGGGAAAAATACCCACCCAGAGCTCCTCGTGACGACAGTGTTCCCCTAGTCGGTGTCACCAGAGCAGAACCCCTGTGTGTGCTCGAATCCATGGTGCGTAAAGCAGCTTTATCCTTCCCACCAGGATCAGCAGGTGGGTTCACAGGACTACGACCCAACCATATCAAACAAATGCTCAACCCTGCACTGGGAGACATTGCACAGGGCCTCCTGGTGGAACTAACTAGATTCGCCAACACATGTCTAGCTGGCAACATACCAGAGACCATACGGCCTCTCTTTTTTGGCGCTACCCTCTGTGCCCTGAGGAAAAAAGATGGAGGAATCAGACCGATAGCTGTGGGCAATTCACTCCGGCGTCTCGTCGCTAAGGCTGCTGCTAGAGCAGTTAGTCAGGTAGCAGCCGACATGCTGAAGCCAAAACAGCTTGGGTTTGGCATTCCCCAAGGGTGTGAGGCAGTGGCACATGCAGCTAGAGCCTACATTGCCAACATTGCGGATGAAAAGCCCTGATAAAGTTGGACTTCCAAAATGCTTTTAATCTGGTTACAAGGGATGCAGTACTCAGTGCAGTTCATCGCCTTTTTCCTTCCCTCTACCCGTTTGTAAACTCATGCTACAGCAAGAATCTAACTCTGCTTTTTGGGGAACATGAAATTGAATCACAAGAAGGTGTCCAACAGGGTGACCCCCTTGCTCCTTTTCTTTTCTGCCTAGTTATCAAGGAAGTCACCAATAACCTGTCCAGTGAGCTCAACATTTGGTTTTTGGACGATGGTACTCTAGCCGGCTCCCCAGCCTCACTCTTGGACGACATAAGAATAATTCAGGAGCAAGGAGCAAGCCTAGGCCTCACTCTGAACCCTTCCAAGTGCGAAATAACCTCCACCAACCAGCACATAATAGAGCAAATAAAGGTCGTTTTGTCTGACATTCATACAACCAACCCTGAGGACAGCACACTCCTAGGTGCTCCTCTTGGAAGGAATGCCATCGACGGGGTCCTTGATAAGAAGATCACTGATCTGAAGAGGATGAACGAGAGGATTGAAGACATCGATGCTCATGATGCACTTTACCTCATCTCCAGATACTTGTCCCTCCCCAGGCTGACCTACTTTCTAAGATGTTCGCCATCTTTCAACAATATTAAATTAGAAGAGTACGACAGCTTGCTGAAATCAACACTAGGAAAAGCCCTCAATCTTTCCCTCAGCGACTTACAGTGGAAACAGGCCTCCCTTCCTGTCAGACTCAGGGGCCTTGGCATGCACACAGCAACACAAATTGCTGTACCAGTGTTCGTGTCCTCTTCAGTGGGGTCTGACAACTTGGTGAAGGAAATCCTACCTGAGCACCTAGTTCAACAGGCAGGGGTACATGATCCCAGCTTTACAGACTGCACAACCAAATGGGTCTCTCTCGCAGGACCAGCACCCCACCCACCGCCTTCTGAAGCCCATAAGCAATCCAGCTGGGATCGCCCCATTGCCGACCAAGAAGCTGCGACCTCGCTAGAAGCTGCGACAACACCACATGACACTGCCCGACTTAGAGCTGTAGCAGCTCCCCATGCAGGTGATTTCCTATTAGCAACCCCAATGTCAGCAACCGGCACCCGTCTCACACCGCAGGCCCTCCGAATTGCCGTGGCTCTCCGCCTCGCTGCCCCAATCCACACCGAATACAGGTGTATTTGCGGCGAGGCAGAGGCCGACATATACGGACGGCATGGCCTTCTCTGCTAAAGGACAGGAGGATGGCATGCAAGACACGGCGAGGTCAATGACAATATTAAGAGAAGCCTTACCACAGCTGGTTGTACAGCAGAGAGAGAGCCCCGTTACCTAATGTCGCGCAACTCTGATGAGCCTGTCGGTCGCCCAGATGGAATCACGGTGAACCCCTGGAAGAATGGTAGACAGTTGGTGTGGGACTACACTTGCGTTTCAACTTTAGCCAATACCTATGTTGACTTCAGTGCTACACAAGGAAGAGGAGCTGCCAATCACCGGGAAGCGGCCAAGTCACGTAAATACAGAGACCTTGAGCACCACTACAATTTTGTCCCCATTGCCTCAGAGACACTTGGTGCCTGGGGTAAAAGTGCTGCTAGCTTTTTGAAGGAGTTGGGGTCTAAGCTAATCGAAACAACTAGAGACCCTAGAGCTGCCAGGTTTCTTTTTCAGCGCCTTAGTGTGGCAATCCATAGAGGAAATGCTCACTGCATCCATGGTTCCTGCCCGCCATCTGAGGAGCTGGAAGAGCTGTACAACTTGTGACAAGCAGCCTTGCACCCTGCATGTAATCAATATTGTAACTTTTTTGTGTAATGACTTTTTCAAATAAAGTTAGATAAATATACACACATACCAAAAGAATAGGGGTGGTAGGAGAAGAAAATATCAAAGAGTTCAGTGAGGATCCACAAGGTCTTCTCTGAGTACTCTTTATTTTCTTCTCCGAGGCTATGGGTCCCTACACTTGCACCAGAGGTGGTACCCCTTATATATATATATATATATATATATATATATATATATATATATATATATATATATATATATATATATATATATATATATATATGCGAACAAGCCTGAATGGTCCCCAGGACAATATGCAACTGAAAACTCACACCCCAGAAGTGACTCGAACCCATACTCCCAGAAGCAACGCAACTGGTATGTACGAGACGCCTTAATCCACTTGACCATCACGACCGGACAAAATGAGGTGATAGCCGAGGCTATTTGAACCACCCCACTGCCGGCACTCGGATAGTAATCTTGGGCATAGCATTTTACCAAATCACCTCATTCTTTGGGGCACACGTGAGGAACACAAATGCGAACAAGCCTGAATGGTCCCCAGGACAATATGCAACTGAAAACTCACACCCCAGAAGTGACTCGAACCCATACTCCCAGAAGCAACGCAACTGGTATGTACAAGACGCCTTAATCCACTTGACCATCACGACCGGACAAAATGAGGTGATAGCCGAGGCTATTTGAACCACCCCACCGCTGGCACTCGGATAGTAATCTTGGGCATAGCATTTTACCAAATCACCTCATTCTTTGGGGCACACGTGAGGAACACAAATGCGAACAAGCCTGAATGGTCCCCAGGACAATATGCAACTGAAAACTCACACCCCAGAAGTGACTCGAACCCATACTCCCAGAAGCAACGCAACTGGTATGTACAAGACGCCTTAATCCACTTGACCATCACGACCGGACAAAATGAGGTGATAGCCTCATAATAATAATAATAAGAAAGAATAACGTCTCTAATAACACACAACAATCACCCTCCATAATAATAATAACTTAATATATTCCTCCTTAATAAATCACCAAAATAACCCTCAATAATAATCAAGCACAAAACTCTTTCATAATAATCCATCACAATAACCCTACATAATAACCCTCAACCATAAGCTTCCATAATAACCCTGAACAATAACCCTCCATGTTTATTTCCCACAATAACTTCAA